CTATTGTTAACAGACAGTTGTGAGCTGCCACATGGGTCCTGTGGAAAGGCCTCCACTGCTCTTAACTGCTGAGCCATCTCTCCAGCCCCAACACTGTATTAAAGATGTCCAGGGACTGGTAAGATGGTTCAGCCAGTAAAGACACCAGCTGCCAAGCCTGAGGATCCCAGTTTGATTTCCAGGATCCAGTTGGTGGAAGTCGAGAACAAGATTACCGGAAGTTGTCCTGTGACCTTCACAGTTGGGCTATGGTACCTCCACACACATGCACACATGCACAAAAATATATAAATGAATAAGTATAAATAATAAAAAATACAAATGAATAAAAATGTAGTTAAGAAAAGGGACTGTGTTAATCCTTGAATGTTTCTGTGCATACTTAACTGCATGTAAGTTTCTTTGTTGTACTGATAATCAGATATTTTGCATTATGTCTATACTTTTCTTGAAGTTGTAATTAAGAGTGATACATACTTTTACGTCAGCACAATATATATAAATATGGAGTCAGACTTTTCTTTGGGCAACCAGCTCACAAAAAAGGACACGGAGACTTATATTAACTATGAAAGCTCGGCCTTAGTTTAGGCTTGTTTCTAACTAGCTTTGATAACTCAAATTAACCCATTTATGTTAATTTACTTTTTTTACCTCGTGGCTTCATTACCGCATGTCCGAAATGTCTGTCCTGCTTTTGCTAAGTTTTCTGGCGTCTCTGCCTTCTTCTTCCCAGTATCCTCTATGCCCAGAAATCCTGACTAGCTATTGGCTGTTCAGCCTTTTATTAAACCAATCAGAGTGACACATCTGCACAGTGAACAAAAAGATTATTCCATAACACAAATATATACTCAGTTTCTCTATCTGCCTAAGAGCTGTAATAGCACGTTGAAATAGATGTAAGTTATGCTTATGGTCATTATGATTACAAACCAAATAATGTGTAGATCCAGCTACAAAAGAAATATTATGAGGTAGGAATCTAGAATTTTGAAGTAAAGTATTCACTACTAATTATTTATTTTCTAACTTCTTAGCCATGAAAATAAAAGTTAAGTTGTGATATTATAAAAAGATTTGGCTCTGTTTCTGAACATGTAAATCTGCAATAGTATTTTAAAAATTGGGTGTTTTGGGGTCCGATGGCTCAGCCTGATGATCTGAGTTGAATTCCCAGAACCTTCATGGTGGAAGGAGAGAACAGTCCCCTACAGGTTGTCCTCTGAGCTCCACGTGTGCCCTGCACATGCCCCTTATCCCCAAAAATAAACAAGTGAAAAAACTAATGTTGGCATGGAAGTGGTGACTCAGAGAAAGTTAAAGCTACCTCGGGGGCAGGGGTGTCACTTGAGTGCATGATTTCTAGGCCAGCATAGACAACATTGTGAGGACCTCTCCACAAAAGAAAACCTCACAAAAGAACAGAACAACCTTTTTGAATCAAACCAGTTTTTAACTTTTTCATTGACACTTAGAGAAATTTCTTAGGAAATACTATTTTTCTTCTGAATTTTATATTTTCCTTGAATTTTTTTGAGGTTGTAATTTAACTGTAACATTTTTCCCTTTCCTAAACCTTTCCATATACCCCTCTCTGCTCTCTTTCAAATTTTTGACCTCTTTTTTGTGGTGATATTTATTGTTTTCCCTAAAATATTGTGCACTCTAATAAACTTATCTGGGGTCAGAGAACAGAACAGCCACTAGATAAACATAGAGGCCAGAAAATGGTGGCACACACACCTGAGTCATAGCTATTATTACTTGGTGTTTTTAAGTCTTCATTTGCAACAGAAAAATGTTAGGTTTCACTAATGGTGAAAATACATACAAACTGGAACTATTCCATGGAAATGAGAATTCTAAGATTTTTTTTGCAACAACTCTGCATTGCTTATATTACCCAAACTGGAACCAAGAATAGTGTTTTTGTTATTCAGCTTCCTAGATCGCTAGTGAGTGGACTTTCTGTTATATAGCCTATGTCAATTAGAAAAAAGTTGGGGTGGCATAAATACTAAAAGTTTTATCAGCCGGGTGTTGGCAGCACATGCCTTTAATCCCAGCACTTGGGACACAGAGGCAGAGGCAGGCGGATCTCTGTGAGTTCGAGGCCAGCCTGGTCTACAGAGCAAGTTCCAGGACAGCCTAGGTTACACAGAGAAACCCTGTCTCGAAAAGAAGAAACAAAACAAAACAAAAGTAGACTATAGTATACTTAGATATATGAGACTCTGGGTTTCCTCTTTAGAATCACACACAAAAAGAAAATAATTCAAGTTTTAGCACATTGATAAATACTGAAAATGTGAAGAATGCTTGCATCCTTCCATTTAACATATTCTTATATTTCAACCTACAAATTTTGGGAAGGAAGAATACTATATTGACAGCAATAGTACTTAGGTGCATAGTGTGATGGAAATACGTATTGTCATTAATACATTTTTTTCACAGATGTGCTAGGATGTGTATTTGAAAGTGTCTCACCTACCACAGTTGCTAGGATCTGAGGAGGTCCTCTAACAAATCGTTGAGTTTTGTAGGCTACTTGGATTTGACTTGACTTTGCTGGTATTGTTTTGTTTCTTTCTTTCTTTTTTCTTTTTCTTTCTTTTTTGAGACTGTGTTTACCTGTGTAACGAGGCTGGCCTCAGAGTTGCAATAATCCCCCTGCCATGGCCTCTTGAGTGCTGAAATTATAGGTGTGTGCCACCACACCCAGTTTTTGTTTTAAAATGATGGAAATGACTGGTGATAACTGACCAGTTACTTAAAAATATCAAGCCTGAGTTTTCAAAGTTCCTTTCTCTGAAATATGGAAACTGTCTTTTTATTCCCTTCAGTTGAAAAGCTGAGAGGAAGGATATTGGTAGTTTTAAAGATGTTAACAAGAATGTTTATTTTCAAGGAAGAAACAAATAGAATTATTTTCTAAATGTTTTTCATAAAGTCGCCTTGTAACTTACTACAGAGTTCACACTGAGTAGCTCAGGATTTTAATATGGTTTTGGATAGTTTGAACATTTGATTTCTTACTTTTAGAACTCATTACTGCCTTTTGGTCTGTAAAAAAAAAATTGTATTCTCTTTTAATGTTCAGATTTTTTTTTTTTTTGTTTTTCGAGACAGGGTTTCTCTGTGTAGCTTTGCGCCTTTACCTGGGACTCACTTGGTAGCCCAGGCTGGCCTCGAACTCACAGAGATCCACCTGCCTCTGCCTCCCGAGTGCTGGGATTAAAGGCGTGCGCCACCACCGCCCGGCTTAATGTTCAGATTTTTAAAAATAAATGACTTTTGGATTTAAAAGCAAAATTAAAGAACATGTTATTGACACCATTTTTAGTAATTGTCTTCACCTCCCTCTATCCCGGTGCGGATTTTAACCTTGCCCCAGGGAAGAGATTCCTCTCCCTCTTTGCTGAGAGCACACTCACAGTGCAGTTTTTACATCCATATCCCTTGATTGAGAAAACATGGAGTGTTAATAACTTTCTGTGTAGGAAAGACTCACAGTTTCCACAAATGAATAGTGAAGGCATTCTGTTTCTCGAATAATTTCATCCTATTTTGTTTGCTCTTATGGGTTGAAATCATATTTACAAATGTATGTTTACATAATACAGTAATCACATAAAGAGACTGTAATTTAAGGTAGTTATAAATTGGTAAAACAAAGGGGTTTATTTTTTACAGTTACAAATCAGTTTCCTGGTCACGTGGATTATGCTCCTCTGTGTGGAGCAAAACGAGCCTGGGAGGGTTGTAGCCATGAGCTGTCATTTGTGCATCCTGTAGTTCTGCAGTGCAGGTTGTCTGCGTCATACAGTTGGAGCAGTTTTGAGGTTCTGTAAGAGTCACATGTGCATTGAGCACATGTACTTCTGACCTTCAAACTTTGTTTTCCTTTGACATTTAAGAGCAGAGGAAAGAGTAAAGCTATTATCACCTAATTGTTAAGGCTTTTCATCTGTTTGTATTGCTTGAACTTGTTTTCTGTCTTTTTCATGTTCTTATGTGTGACTCTAAAAAGTATATTATACAAGTTTGGTGGGTACCAGCAGAAATGAAGGCTGTGGTTCCCTGTTTCCCTTGTTCATTTCATTATCTCGGCAGTGGAGTCTGCACTTTAACTGTGTAGTAAGGTGGGTTCGGTGGTTGGTCAAAGTCACGCAGGTGAGACTTCAGGAGTATCCATCAGAAAAGAGCCAGCCCCAGTTAGACAGGAAGGGAGTATTTCATTCTTATAATGTATCTCCTGTTAGCAGGTCAAAGAAAGGCTTAAGAACTAAAAATTAGTACCAGAGGAACAGGGTTTGAACAGTAAAGATTTATTTAAATAATTACCTAGTATATTAGGGGAAGCTCATTATTTCAGATTAAATTGGATCCTAGCTTTACATAATTATTTTTTCCTTAATTCTCGTATTTAAGGTTTCACTTTACTTGTTTATTTGTCTTATCAAGATCCAGAAGAATTACATTTTCATTTAAATTGATTACATATAGACAAGTAGTTGATTGTGATGTATTTAATTGATTTTCCAGTTTGTCCTATTTAAAGCGATTCTGTGTGTCTGTGTTAACAGTTATGTAAATGTTCCACATTAAAGCAGGTTAGATGTTATCATAACTTACTGACCTGCTAGGCCAGTCTCTATCATTTTAAACGTAACCCTAATCCTTAAAAAAATTGTTTTATTATCTGCACATGGCTGTCATTGTAAAGTGTTTAATGCATTAGGCACTATAGTAACCAGTAGAAGCGGCTCCACGTGTTGGCTTTTACAGAGCTTTCCAGAAGGCATTGCGTACAGCTCTCGTGACTTGGAACAGCATGTCAGTTTTGAAAAGCCACGTGCAAGTTTGAGATTTTGAGATTGGAACTAACGTAGAAAGCTTGAGTAGCAAAATATTAAAAAGTTATTCTCTGATGACCTCGATGATAATACTTTATGAGTATATAAATCTTTGAATTCCTCTCTTGTTACAAACAGTGTGTGAAGACTGCAGAGACCTGCAATCCAGTCACATAAGTGTGTAAAGAGATAGTGGTCCTCATGGAAGAAGAGCAAGACCTACCAGAGCAACCGGTGAGTATTTCCTTCAAGTTCAAGGTGATTGTAGAAAAGCTAATCTGAAGAGACTTTTCAAGTATAATTCAGTTATACTTACAGAATCCAAATTAGAAATGAGAATAAAGAACAGGATCCTTAGTAATTTCCCTCTAAGAAAGCAGTGTTGTATGTTCTTTTGTTTGGGTTTTGAGATGGAGTCTTGCTATATGCAGTCTCGGGTGGCCTCACGTGTGGTCCTCTTACCTCAACCTCCCTGATTGGGATCACAGATGTGCACTGCCTTGCCTGGTATGTTGCATGTTTTTAAACTCAAACTTGGCTAACTTACTGCACTCCGCATTACCAGGTGAGTATTGCCCTTTTCCCTGTGTGCTGAGAGTTGCGTTCTCGTGATTACTTTGCCATTCTTTAGCCTTCTCCGTTAGGTAACTGTAAAAGTTAGGGAGACATGAGTAACTAATAAAATACCTCTGGAACTAATAAAATCATCTTGAACAGTATATATAGGGTGTGCACTGTTGAAACAAACAGCTGACCTATAGACACTAAATGTACCAAGGAAAGGGACATCATTGAGTGTTTATGTAGTGAGACAAGAGTCTACGCATGAATTCAGAAAGACTTATGTAAATGTCGACAGACTGTTGAAATGAGAATCGTTCATTACTCCTACCTAATTAACGAAGTGGGAGACTAACCAGCTAGCGGCTCATCTCTTGGACTGCTTCCTCCCATCTCTTTCGGTTCGGTTTCTGTGACACTGTATGCAGAGCCTGACTACTGTTAGAGGAAAGGAAGAGACCGAAGCACTCGAAAGCCGGAACTTCTGTCGTGCGGTTATTGTTAGAGAAAGTCACTTTTTTTTTCTTGGTTTTTCCAGACAAGGTTTCTCTGTATAGCTCTGGCTATCTGGGAACTCACTCTGTAGACCAGGCTGGCCTGGAACTCACAGAGATCACCAACACCTGTCTGGAAAGGCATTTTCTTACTGGCTCGTGCTCCCAGTATAAATCTGTCCAGGTGACTGTGTGACCACATGGACATGTCAGTGCTGTTGGAAAGGGCACAGTATACCTGACATCACAGGGTGAAGTACCAGTGTTGGTAAGGCGTCAGAAGGCATCCAAGGGAAGACATGACCACAGGCTTCACTAGACTCTCTACATAAAGACAAGGCAGACAGCAATGGTATGACTCATTAAAATAATTCTAGCAGGCTGTTTTGGTTGGTTTAGGATGGGGGAAATAGGGATGTAGGAGGTAGTCCCCAGCCGAAGTGGCTCAGACCTGGAATCCCAGCACTTAGAATGATTAGTTTTTTTGTTAACAGAAACTAGGGTCGTCTAGGAAGAGGAACCTTGATTGAGAAAATGGCCCCCATCTATATTGCCTGGAGCAACACCCCTCATGGTTTCTGTTTTAGTTCCTGCTGACTTCCCTCAGTGAAAGATTATTTATTACCTGAGAGTATAAGATGAAATAAACCTTTGCTCCCAGTTGCTTTTAGTCAGTGTTTATCACAGCAATAAACCCTAATGAAGACATTTGGGGAATGGAGGCAGGAGCATTAGGAGTTCAAGCTCATCCTCTGCTGTATAACATGTTCTAAGTCAGCATGGGCTACATGAGACCCTGTCTCAAAGCAATAACTAAAAAGAGTATTTGAATTGGTAGAGGAAGTGTTTCTGACTATAATCTCTGGACTCTAGAGGTGATACAAACAGCTTTGTCTTCCAGCTTGCTCCTGTAATTAGTAGATGCCTAGTGGACAAGCACAGAACCTGAGAAAACATGGAGTACTTCCTGTTGGAAAACACTTAGGAACCTGAGTAAGTGTTTGATTTTCAAGAGAAGAGCTGTTTGCAGGCTGTGGTAGAGATCCCTATGGTAGAACAAGTGGCCGCGCTGCTCGCCAGCTGCTAAGACAGACGGCTGCCTCAGCTCTGAATTTCACTTCCTTTTCCACGAAGGGAGTAATCTGGAGGCTAGAAAAGACAGCCTCCCTGAATGGGGTTTTCTTTTTGTTTTGGAGGCAGTGTTTCTCTAAGAAGCCCAGACTGGCCTGAAACTCATGAGCCCCCTGCCTCAATCCTCCCAGGTCCTGAGATCGCAGGAATGCACCACCATACCCAGATCATGGTATTTTAAATAAGTTCTGATCTCCCAGATTTAGAAATTTTACCTCATAAGCCCACTTTGTTTCTTTGAGACAAAATCTGTTTGTGATCCAGGCTGGCCTTGAAGTACAGACAACTCTGAGTGCTGGGAGTACAGTCACATAGCACCATAGTCAGCAGTCCAGTGGACCTGAGACTTAGAAACACAGTTGTCAGACCAGTGTTCATTATCTCTGGGGAAAAAAAAAACTAAACTAAACAAAAGCCAGCGAATGAGAGATGCGTTTGAAACAGCTGCAAAGAAGCACGCTGCTTACATGTCATTACTGTTTTATTCAGCAGTGATGGCAGGGAGGAATGAAGGAGTAGTACCAGAAACTGCATCCCTGCGCTGCTTTAATGTCGACTCGTTAACAGCATCCTAAAACGGAGTGAGCGGACCTTAGAAAAAACTGTGCTGTTTGGGTAGTAATATTGACAGGTCCAAGTTTTAGAAGTGACTGGCTATAGGATACTAGGAAACTGAGAAGAATTCTTCAAAGTACCAGAGAATAGTAACATGATTTCTTCAGCGATGCTCACTCTGTAAATTGCAGTGAGCCCTCTCCCCATCTTCTTTCTTTCCTTTTTTGGGGTGGTGGTTGTTGTCTCGTCCTTGTTTCTTTTTGTTTTTCTTTGTCTCCAGTACTAAAGGTTGAAGGAGGGCCCTGCTCCCACTGAGCAAGTGCTTTACCTCCGAGCTAGCCTTCAGGCATTTCCTATTGTTTAGTTACTCTTGGTTTTCTCCTTTTCAAGTAGAGGCTTACACCATCAGAGGGAAGGGCCCTCCATCTGGAGGTAGGAGTGCTGTATTTTGTAAGGTTGGTATGGTAACCTTACAAAGCTATTTGTAATTGATGATTTCCCCTCACTCTTAGCTCAGTGTGGCCTGGTAGTATTATTTTCTAGATGTGCCTATTTTTCCAAAAAATAAAAGAAGGTCTACCATTTTATTTCCTGTGTTTGCCATATTATACTATGACTAATGCTGACTTTATGTTCCCATGTGTTTAGGGGACAAAAAATGCAGTAAATAGATGAGATGAGTCTCCTTCATTTATTACCAGATTTTTGGTGGGTAGAAAAGAATAAATGTATAGTGTGTATATATGTATGTGTTTTTGTGTCTAATACAATTGGGTTTAGCAACTCATCCCCGTCTAATGCCTGAAATTAGCACACAGCTTAAAAATTACTATAGTGAAGTGGACAGTATAGGGGAGTGTGTTCTAAACCAGCACAGTCCAGCTGTGGCCTTTAGTTTACTCTGAGATTTGTTTTTAGGGCATCCCCTCCCATCTGTGCTGATCCAGTAGCCTCTTTGTTTTTACACTTAACGTTGTTTCCCTCCTGTCCGTCGTCTGTCTCTGTCTTATCAGACTGGTCTGTTATCTTGCAAGGCCTCAGAGGCTCCCTGTTATCCTCAAGGTAGGCCCCGCTCCCTGATCTACTGTGTACTGATGCTGCCCTGTGCCGTCGTCTCTTCTTTCACACGCACTACTCCGAGGTGCAGTGAGGCTTTAGTACATTGATTTCATGTTCTTTATTCTAGTTGAGCCCTTTTTATGACTTTCTGTACATACTGGCCTGTGCCCCCACTCCACCCCAGATACAAGTTCCTCTTTACCTACTAAATTCAATTTATCAGGTTTCAGCTTAGACTAATAACTCCCCCCACCCCCCCAGCTGAGGACCAAACCTAGGACCTTGCGCTTGCTAGGCAAGTGCTCTACCGCTGAGCCAAATCCCCAACCTCAACTAATAACTTTTTATTTATTTATTTATTTGTTTATTTTAGACAGGCTCTTTAAGCTCTGGCTGGCCTGAAACTCACTATGTAGTCCAAGCTGGCTTTGAACTCACAGAGATCCACCTGCCTCTGTCCCCCCATAGTGCTAAGATTAAAGGTATGCGCCACCACACTGGCATTCTCAGTTGAATTAAATCATAGAATACTATTTCTGTATGTGTTTTGTTTGTTTGTATGTATGTATGTATGTATGTGAGGAGGTCAGAAGAGGGGCTCAGGTCCCTTGGAACTGACATAATGGTATGTACGTGCTGGGGATTGAACTTGGGTCCTCTGCAAGAGCAAAAAGTACTCTTTAACTACTGAGCCATCATTCTAGCCCCCAAATCATAGAATACTATTTAAAGGTGGGTTAGTAAGAGCTGAAAATGTTAATTGTAAAATGATGACAGGCAGTAAACTGTAGTTGAACTTTTCTTGTTTTCAATTCAGTTTCTATTTAAACCAGTTTTCCTTATTCCTTGGGCTACATCTCTTTCCCCCCACTTTTATTATAGGGTTAGATTCTTTGTCAGAGTCTGCATGTCATCCTGGGGTTCTTCAACCCCTTGGTTGGCTTATTGTAAGGAACTACTGTCATGTAAAAGTTTCACATTTTTGTGTAATAACATTTATTCTAGGTCTAATAAAAACAAAATGAAATACATATTGGTTAATATATAGTAAAATTTCTCTACCAAGTGTCAGTATCTGTGAATTAAACCAACTAAGGGTAAATATAATGGACAAAAAATATTTTTTAGTGCACATATTGTATAAACAGTCTCATTTCCTAAATAATATAGTATAACAACTATTCACATAGTATTTATAGTGTATTAGATATTGTAAGTAATTTAGAGGTGGTCTAAAGTACATGAGAACTATGCATGGTAATATAAAGGACTTGAACATCTACAGATTTTGGTATTAGTGAGGATTCCTGGAGCCAGCCCTGTGATACGGAGAAACAACTGTGTTTGCAGCTAGGGTTTCAGAATGAGATTACTGCACTGATTTCGATGTGTACTGATGTTTGCAGGTGAAGAAAGCCAAGATGCAGGAACCAGGAGAACAAACTTTAAGGTATTTATAAAATTGGACTTCATTTAAATGATTGTGCTGATTAGTATAGGGGCATGCTTTGTGGTGACTGCTGCCTTTTAGGTTTTCACTGTTACCTTTGCATTTTGAAATGATTTAGTTTCAGATTAAAATTCCTCTTCAAAATAGGATTGATGAGACTAGTTTGGGCAGCACAGCAAGACCCTGCCCCCCAAAACCAAGCAAAAATCTACTTTTCCAAAATAGCTTTCCCTCTGATACTTAGGCAGATCTTTTGTTGATGTTGTTATGCCTTCATTACTTATTAAACAGTATTACTGAGTTCATTTTATATATATCGGGCATTTGTGGAGAAACTCATAAATGAAAAATGATATATTCTTCAGTCAAATGTACAGTACAAAGGAAGGAGAGACCAAAATAAGGGAAATAGGAAGAGTTTGGCATTAATTGTCAATTGAGCGTGTGGTACTCCAAACGCTGGTTCCACTCCTGTAGAAAGGAGGTGTCTGTAGCACCTCATGGTCTGTCTCCAGTGCCTTCATGATGGTCATTTTTTCCAGTTGTACCTCCTGCCGGTTAGCCACTGACCACCGAGCCAGGAACTGCATCATTTCCAACACGTTTTTCAAGATGCTATTTTTACTACCACATAGATAATTCCAGATTGTTTACCCTGCAACTGACACTCTGGCCATGTAGCTCATGCTTCCATTTTAAATTTCTAGCATATTTTCTTTATTACCCACTGGCTTTTCTCTCAAAATGGACTTCAGTTTCTTTCTTATGCTAGTTAAGTTATAAGATCTATTACTGTGGGGTGGTGGTGGCCCATACCTTTGATCTCAGCACTTGGGAGGCAGAAGCAGGTGGATCTCTGAGTTCAAGGCCAGCCTGGTCTACAGAGCAAGTTCCAGGACAGCCAGGGGTACACAGAGAAACCCTGTCTAGAAAAAAGCCAGGGGGAAGAAAAAAAGATCTACTACTATAGTCTGTCCCTTGAACATGTTAGCTTTCTCCACTCTTCCTGTGTTATGCTTACCAGCAAAAGTACATCCTTGCTTAAACCCAACTGTCCACCTATTCCATGCATATTCCTGATCTGCTTGCCAATAAAACCACAACTTTGCTTAAACCCAGATTATTCACTTACTCCCTGTCACCATAGCACTGTAATAGAACAGCACCAAACTATACTGACTCATCTTAGTTTCCATTCATGGTTACGTCTCAAATAGGCACATAGATATCCTTCTCTGTGTGTCTGATTTCCCGGTGTCTAAAATCATCTTAAGTCTGTCTTCCTTTCATCTTTGCCTCCTGTCTTCTCCCTTTCTCTTTACTTCCCACATTTTTATTCACTCAGCGAGGGAACTTGCTACCTAATTCAAAGAGAAATTAGAGACATTAAAAAAGAAGCATCTTGCTTCCAGCAGATTGGTTGTGGATACTTTCTGTTTCCTTTTCCTGGGAAGTCAGTTCTCCTGCTGCGCTACAGAACCTGCCAACTCTGTCTTTTCCTGCAGTTCTTTTCTTCCTTTGGTAAGCTTTAAATCTATGGCTAAGTATCCTTAAATTTACCATTTACCCTCTTCCTTTGACAGTCATACTGTGTAGGCCATGCTGGCTTTTCACTTGTGACCTTAGCTTCCTGAGTGCTGAGGTTTAAAGACTTAAGCCACCATGCCCAGCCTTAAACCTTCCCCTCCATCCACCACACTAGGGATTGAATGTAGGGCCTTGAGGATCCTAGGAAGAGCTCTATCTCTGAGCTACATCCCACAGCCCTTAAAACACTTTTAAAAGTGTAATTCATTATCAGTGTGTACGTGAACTTGTGGGACCACTGACACTATCCATCTCTGTAACTTTTATTGTCTTCCCATGTTGAGACTTCATACCTGTTAAACAGAGCTTCCCTTTACCCCTCTCTGCTTGTCCCTAGCATCTTCCATTCTACATCTTTCCGTGTTTGTGAGATTAGTCTGTGGGATTGACTGTTCTAAAAACTTCATGTAAAGGACTATACGATTATGTATATAGTAAAAATGACGTACATATATAGCCTTTTGTAATTTAGTAATGTCTTCAGGTGTGTCTCTCTATAGCATGTATCTTTTTAAAGATGAATAATACTTCTACTTTTTCTTTATTTCTATCAGTCATTGATAATTGATAAGAGTTCTGTTGAATGAAAAGATACTTAGGCTGTTCAGTTTATGAAGTTTGAGTGTTTTTCTTTTTCTTTTATTTTTTGGTTTTTCGAGACAGGGTTTCTCTGTGTAGCTTTGGAGCCTTTCCTGGAACTCACTCTGTAGCCCAGGCTGGCCTCAAACTCACAGAGATCTGCCTATTTCTGTCTCCAGAGTGCTGGGATTAAAGGCGTGCACCACTGCCTGGCAATCATTTTTATTTTTTTGTTTTTTGTTTTTTTTTTTTTTGGTTTTTCGAGACAGGGTTTCTCTGTGTAGCTTTGCGCCTTTCCTGGATCTCGCGCTGTAGACCAGGCTGGCCTCGAACTCACAGAGATCCGCCTGCCTCTGCCTCCCGAGTGCTGGGATTAAAGGCGTGAGCCACCACCGCCCGGCTAATACATTTTTATTTTTTAAGCAACTTTGTTGTTAAGCAAAATTTTACATTTATATGTTCTGAAAGCAATTATTTTCAGGCAATATACAATTTCTCTGGGGACAGTTTTAAACATTGAACAAAGTGCTAGAGTTAATTCACTATTTTGGTAGTGTGTTTCTAATCTGTTCATGTTTAGTTGAATGTGTAGGGGATTTTGCTATAATAAAATTCTAAATCATACTAGAATCAAAGACTTTTTAGAATTGGTATGCCCAGTGTGTCCGAGGACATATCACTTTTAAGATTCAGGATCTAGCGCCGGGTGGTGGTGGCGCACGCCTGTAATCCCAGTACTCAGGAGGCAGAGGCAGGTGGCTCTCTGTCTACAGAGCTAGTCCAGGACAGGTTCCAAAGCTACAGAGAAACCCTGTCTCGGAAAAACAAAAACAACAACAACAAAAAAAAGATTCAGGATCTAAAAATAGTCTTCAGCAGTGACTATAACTAACTCAGAGTTACCCAAGTACACAGAAAAGAAACTCGTTGCAGTTGGAAATGTGGAACTCTGGCCCAGTTTCAAGTTCTTCCTTGTGTGAATTCTATTTAAGTAGGTATGAGGTGGGACTCAGAAGTCCTTAACTTTTACGTAAAATTCAGGGCACTATGATTTAGCATGTTGGTGTGGATCAGTATAACTAGTTCATGCCATTTCTTTCCTGTCCCCTTTAATTTCCATGGTTATAACTTGGGTAGTACATTGTTATTCCAAAAGTGTAATCATTTGAGCAAAGATAAAATTGAACTTTGTTTGAAAATTTTGCTTTAAAAATTAAATTTCCAGGCTATGATGGCTAAGCCATTAAAAGCACTTACTGCTCTTGCAGAGGAACAAGATTTGTCCTCGGCACCCATATGGTGCCTTACAACTGTTTATAACTCCAGTTCTAGGGGATCTGAAGCCCTCTTCTGGCTCCATAGTACCAGGCACACACAAGTCCATATTACATGCATGTCAGCAAAACTCTCATATACATTAAAAAAAAAAGTGGTCTTTTTTTTGTTTGTTTGTTTTTTCAATTAAATGTGGTAGGTATGATGGTGCATGCCCCTAATCCCAGCACTTAGGAGGCAGAGGCAGGTTGATGTCTGAGTTTGAGTCCAGTCTGGTCATTATATCAAATTTCAGGCCAGTCAGGGGTACATAATGAAATCCTGCCTCTGAATGAATGAATGAATGAATGAATGAATGAATGAAGCTGAGGAAATTCGATTTAACATTCAAAATATACCAGAAGAAAATTCTTTATTAATACTTTGATATTAGAGGTTAGCTTGAGAGGTCATGAGAGCTTTAAATGTTGCTATGTAGAAACTACTTTTACCTCCGATTAGGCATTTTTATGCTCAGATGTACAGCCTCTGGCACAGTAGCCCTTACCTCTCCCTGGGAAGAAAGAGTAACAGGGTGTAAATGTGGGAAGTGTACATGGGCTGGAACCAAGAAACAGAACAGCTGTGGTTACTGTGTGCTTGTTATATCTGGACTTAGCTACTTTGTATGTATTGTCATTCATTATCTTTATAACCCAATGAGGCACGTTCTGTTTTATCAAACTCACTGACAAATAAACTGAAGCTTGGACAATTGTATCAGTTGTCCAAACTCTACAGCTAGTTATTGGAAAAGTGGTTTATGAACTTGGCACTCCAGCTCTAGAGCTTACATTTGATAATAAAGTTAGCTAGTTTTTTGTGATAGATAATGTCTCACTCTTTTGTGCAGACTTGCCTTAAACTAATTTTGTAACCCATGCTGGCCTCAAACTTATGATGAACCCGCCTGCCTCAGCATCCTAAGTCCTGGAATTAGGAGTGAGTCACCACATGCAAATAGAAGGTGTACTCTAACCACTATGCGATCGTGGGAGGAAGTGATGGAACAATGGGCTTACAGGGAAAGAAAAGGAGGAAAACATTAGAAAGGACTCAGCTTGGAGTCATTGCTAGTTCAGAATTTTAGTGGCATACTCGCAACATTGTAGTTTCTAATGTAATGACTTAATCCTCCTTATTTATATGACTTACCTATTAGAACTTCTCTTAACTTTCTTAGGCTTAATTTAAAAAAAAGCTATAGTGCTTGCTTTCCACACGAGGACCTGGGTTAAGTCGCTGACACTACAGATAGACAGGTTAGCAGACAGACAGCCACAGTGAGCTGGTGTCCTGGGTATTAGTTTTGTTGGTATCAACTTTGTCTCTGGGACTCTTGTGGCCTCGGCTGGCCTCAGGCTCATGTATTAGAAGATGGCCTTGAACTCCTGATCTTTCTGCCTTACATCTCCCTAGTGCTAGAATTATAGGTATATAACACCACACCAAACTTCATTTTTTTAATAATAGAGAATGGTTTTAAGGCTCAGAACTCCTCCTTGGGAACAAACTATTTAATTTTTAAAAAATTCTTCAAATTAAGATTTGTAGCTGATGATGACCCACTTTCTAATTAGACATCTCCCTACTTTGTTATATTTTTAACCAAAGTAACAGATACACAGAATGGTGTGGGAATAAAGTACCATGTCTTTCAAATTACCAAAAGAATAGATTTCAGATGTTTTTACCACAAAGAATAAGCATGTGAGGTGGTGTTTGTTAACTAGCTTGGTTTGCATTTCAGAGTATAAATACCAACACATTACATTGTGATCCATCCGTATACTATATATATATATATATATATATATATATATATATATATATATTGAAGTGACAGTACTGTATTCGATATTCAGAGTTATTTTAATGTATGATCTTAGAGAAAAATGTTTGACTTGTTCATGACGTAGCTGGGGCTTCCAAGTGATACGAAATTTCAAGGGTCTCAGGATATGACAAAGAGCAGTCGGATGTCGAAAGTGCTGCCTTGGGCCTCCTCCTTTCATCTGAGTTGCTAAAAGCCAAGAATTAGGAGATCATCTAGATTTACTTCTTACTGGAACAGCCTAAGGGGAGATGGGTTTGAGCTTATCCTTTTCAGCATTATAGCAACTCATTCAGGGGCTAATATGTTTGTTTTGGTTCTCCTAGCCAAGTAAACAACCCGGATGTCAGTGATCAGAAGCCTGAGACATCCAGCCTTGCGTCAAATCTTAGCATGTCAGAGGAAAGTAAGTACTATGTTTTATGCACGGTGGATGTGGTATTACTATAACCAAGGGATGTTATTCTTGTATAATGGGGTTTCACTGAGTGTCTGGGTTATCCAGAATATCTAGAAGGCTCTTCTCCCAATGTTCATACCTGTACTCTGATAAGCGTCATTGACATACTAGCTGAGGACAAGTCTCAAGGAATCTGCTCATCCAAGGAGTCATACTCAGTGCCTTTATTTTTGTTTGGATGTTGAATTTCTAAAATAGTAGCATTTTATTAAAATTTAAAAAGCTTGTGGGCTAATGTCTGACTGTTACTAAAAGAGGATTAAAACAAAAACTTGAAATAAAACCAAGTAATCCTACCTATCAATCAAATGTTCATCCTAAACCCCAACCCTAATTTAACTCAACTCTCCCTCTTCTCTGTAAATGTGTACAAATAACTAAGCATTATTGGATGGAATTACATACTTAACTGAGTAATTACTGCTCGTCATAAGCACAGACCTCAGGTGAGTACTCCGTCTGTTGGGAAGCCTTCATTTCTCTGCGGAGCTTTCCCTTTTAATTTATACCACCGCTTCTCTCAGAACATCAAGACTCACTCTCAGCTTTCCTCCTGCTTAGCTGCTGTCTTCTCCAGTAAAAGCCCCGTGAGGAGGAGTTGCTGTGCTCACTCCCCGTCTCCAGTCCTCCCCCTGTGTTTGTGATACTGCCTCACTTCCTCCTTGTTAGAACAGAAGAGTATCCCTGTCTTGTCAAATCTAAATCCTTTTATCTGCATTCTAAACCCTCTGGCCTTCCTCTTGGAAGACTTGGTGTGATGGTCTTCTCGCCTCCCTCCTGCATCATCACATTCCTCTTCTTAACTCTTCTTGCCATAAAGAGGTGTGCTCTGCTAGCTGCCATCTTCAGAAGGCAGCAAAAGCTCTTTGCATCTTTTGTGATTTGCAGATTTTCTGTGTTTCACGACACATCGGAACCTCGGAAAGGGTTGCCTTCGCTTGCTCCCCTCCGCCTGTTCACTCTTCAGCTGGTTGACTTAGCTTCTGTTGTCTCTCTTCCCATGAAACTGCTGGGCAAGGTTCTCAGTTCCTGTCATATTTGCCGACTGCAGCAGACATTGGTCTGTCCTCAGACTCCCCCTCTCTCAGCACGTCTCCTCTCATGACCCTTATCCCCTGATGGCCCTTCTTCCAGCTGTACTGTATTTAATGTTAGGAGGCCCCAGGTTTGGGTTCTAGGCTACCTGCCTCCTCAGGGAGCCTCCCATCCTTTACTTAAATGTCATATATTGTTAACAAATTCCAAGTTAATAATTTAAAGCAGGGTTTCTCTATGTAGTCCTGGATGGCCTGGAACTCATTAGGTAGACCAGGCTGGTCTTGAACTCACAGAGATCCTCTTGCCTCTGCCTCTTGAGTTTTGGGATTAAAAGCATGGACCACCATGCCCAGCCAAATCCCACATTTTTATTTTCAGTCTGATTTCTCTGATTTCATTTGTGTATCCAATTGCCTACTTGAAATTGCTAATTATGGTCTGAAAACAAAGTCATAAGTAATATATAAGAAGCTTTTGTCTCTTTGAACCAATCAGATTGTCTCCTCCTCTCCCAAACATACCCATTGTAGGAAGCTGTATTACTGTCCCACCATCTGTTCAACTGACAAACCTGGAAGTCCTCCTCCTCCTCCTCCTCCTCCTCCTCCTCCTCCTCCTCCCTGTCTTCCTTATTCCATATCTCGGAGCTGATTAGAGTGATGTGTTAGTGTTAGTGACACCTGCACTCGGCCCATCCTCACTGTTGTTACTGTAGTCTAAGACAAAAACTACTGTTTCAATCCCCTACTGTATAATGACAGATTATGCCCCAGCTTTGTAATCCACTCCAAACAAGTCTGTCATTGGAGGAGAGGTAGATAGGGCTTGAGTACCTGTCAACGGAGAGAAAACCATCTTGCAGAATTTGAATGACCCTACCTTATGTTCTATGATGGATAAGATGTTCACACCTAATTGATATTACCTTCATTTCTGTCTATCTGAATATAGATGAAAGTGATCTTCAAGTTTTTAATAATCTTTTAAAGGCCTCAAACAGTGTCATTGGACAAAATCTTTTACACTAACTTCACACTTGTAAGTTTGTCTTACTCTTGGGTGTGAATTGGCCCCTCCTCTCTTGACCTTCCTTTCTGTGTGAGTCACTCTGGGAACCTTGTTAGGTAAAAGCCAGTGCTTCAGCTTCAGTCCGTCTTTGCACCAGAGCAGCTCCTTTGGTGCTGCTGAGGGAAGTCTGAACAGTTGAGGAGGAGGCTGGCGGAGCAGTTACGGTGCAGCTCTGTGGGTGATGAACTGAAGGGGTGCTAGTATGTGGCTCAAGCTTTATCCCGGTTGTGAGCATGAGAGTCAAGCTTTCATAGCCACTTTTTCCAGACAAAGTCAGGAGGGCAGGAGGGCATCGGAGGGAAAAGTCCTGCACTCCCTGGGTCTCAGAGCATCTGCTTGGCCAGACTTTAACAAGCCTCTATTATAAAGTGGAAGGTAACAACACAGAAACTGCTCTCGTCTGCACTGCTGTTGAGTCTGCATAGCGATAGCAATGGTTTCCAAATGAGACCAGGCACCTTTACCAAATCTGTCTCACAGGTCGTTCCTAGGGCTTCTCACTAAGAGTAGAGTAAGTACCCCGAGTCTAGATGAAGAAGAAGCATCATTCAATTTCTTAGATATGGGTTTGGCTTTCTAAGTTTGTCAGTGAGCATGGCTGAGAGCCTAGGGCGTTTTCCTTCAGAGATAGCTTAGTGATGAGAAAGTGGGAATTAGTTGGTTTATCTTCAGATCTTTTCTGTGTCCATCTATCCCTCTCCATCCTATCTTGCTTCTTTTACTGCCTCTTAAATTCTACAGGCAGGTTTGTAAACAGAGAAATGAGGTGTTTTCTGCTACACAGTCTTTGGAACTTTTTGGCATCCAGTCGGTGTGTTATTTACTTTGAAGGACTATATAGTAAGATGTGTTTTCCCATTTGATTTTTTAATGTTCTAACTTTTTTTTACCTGATAATATCTTTCTTTCAGTTATGACATGCACCGATTACATCCCTCGCTCATCCAATGATTATACCTCACAAATGTATTCTGCAAAGTAAGTTGAATAATTATTTCCAAACTTTTCTCTAGGCTCATTGCAAAATTTAATATTTAACTATTTTCACCTCCCTTGTTCTGTCCTTACTCCAGTTTTCGTCACATCTTAATAAAATCTATCATCCTTTTAAAAATCACATGGTTGCTGGAATAGATTACTATTGCGTGGAACCCACTCTAATTGAGTAGGCACTCAAAATGTAGACTACTGATCAAAAAGCAGTTAGTGATAGGATCATTTCCTTTCTCTATGTTGACATACGGAGCAGTAAAAGCAGCTCAGGATGGCTCCAGATTGACAACTCTGAGACAGGGGTGGTGGGTGAGAGTTACAAAGAGGTACATTTTAGGCCTTCATAGCATACGGTCAGTGCTTAAGACCCAGGTTAATCATCTTTAAGGTGGGCCGGGTGCAGAACAATGTTTGTACCAGGTTGCGGTTATGTATTAATGAAGAATGGACCTATTCAAACAGACATAAACAGCTGCACCCACTAAACCAGTGTGCTCTTGCTAGTTTAATGAGCAAATGCAAGAGTCATGAAGAAATTGGTAACAGAGGTGAGAGAGCCCTGTGAGGCTGCTCGGAAAAGGAAACTGGCATTTTTCTTTGTTGTACCCATTTGCTTATACCTTTAGTTAAAGAAACAAGCTAACTAACATTTCCCACATTCTGGTGTTAACAGGAATGTCTTCTTGGGCCAGCCATTCTCATGCGGTTTTCTTCTGTGGAGTGTTAACACTGTCTTCTGGAAGCATTCTGGGGAGATTTTACATGTCATAGGATGCTCCACTCTTTTGACATGTCATCTACAAATGTACTAGGTCTCGGTCATAGCTGTCCTGGGGTGAATTCAGCCTATAGGCCACAGATCGAGCACACCTAGATTAGATACTAAATGTGAAACACATGTCAACTCTGCAAGCTTTCTGGTATCCAAGTTGTACTGTTAATTAGTTTGAAAGACTAACAAGTGAGATAATGCATCTTTTCCTTTCATTTTTGAAATATTCTGACTATCCTGGTGATATCTGTAAAGACATATGGGAAAAGAGACTATGGTCTTTACAATATCTGGAAATTAACAGTCCTGAGACAGTATTATTTCAGAATATTCTCATGTGACGTGAGTAGCAATTGTTGTCTAAACTATTTTCCAGGCTTAGATCTGGCTAATGAGACTGTTGAAATACGAGTCTATTGCGTACACAGATTCATCCCCAACGTGCATAGCTGCTGCTTTGGGATTCTTTATTCGGGTGTGCCCCCTCCCTTCATTTCCGCCTCCTCACCACGTACTGGAGCACTGCATTAAAATCCCTGTTTAACTGGCCTCCGCCCCACTGTTATGTCCATTTCAGAAAGCAGTGGGCCATTAATCTTTATTAAAGAACAGCTCTGCTCTTGCCGACCTTCCTTCGGTGAGCCAGGGCCTTCCTGTTGTGGAGGTTTGTCCGACTCTCGCCTGGCACTCAGGCCGTGTGTCTGTCTTTCTACTTTTGCATGTTCCTTCCCTTTCTGATGTACCTCCCTTAGGATAGTAGAAGGCTTCCTCTCAGATAGGAGACCCTGGCTCTCCTTTCTTGCGCCTTTGCAGCGCTTTGCTCTGTCCTGGAATACCGTCTCTCAGTTGTGTACAGTTTACCTGCTCGGCTCACATGCTTCTTCCTTCTATTCTTCTTTATTATCTGCTTCTCCCAAAGGTGGGTTTTTTTGGGGGCGGGGGTATCTTTTCCCATAAGACATCCTCCTACCCCATATTTATTAAGCTTTTATGGTATATAATAGCACTTCTTCTTACATCATAATATGCCAAATAAAATAAATAGAATTTATATATAGGGTATAGTAGAATGGGTAAACTACCAAGTCAGAAAGCCAGGGTGAAGTTGCAGGGATTTCACTGGTGAATTTGGTTCCCTGGCTGTCACTGGTGTGACTGGCACCGACTAGTGGCAGTGTGCTGAAGTTTAAAGTGACTTCTGAGGTCTATCAGCCAAGCTGGCTCCTGTTTCACAGGAAACACAGGACACTGGAGCACACCTCCACTCCACCTGGGGTTTTTTGTTTGTTTATTTGTTTGCTTTTTTGAGATAGGATTTCTCTGTGTAACAGAGTCCTGGCTGTCCTGGAACTTGCTCTGTAGACCAGGCTGGCCTCGAACTCACAGAGACCCACCTGCCTCTGCCTCCCGAGTGCTGGAATTAAAGGCGTGCGCCACCATGCCTGGCCACTCCCTAGTTTTGATGTGGTTGCTTTTCCTTGCTCCATCAGCCTCGCCTTCCGTGTCTGAGAACTGCAGTTGGCTCAGTGCTTGGATGAAGAGACGCTGGCTGCTAATTCTGTTCTGTCCATTCTTGAATTGTTCTAAAGTGTTGCTTTTGTTTTGTTTTCTGAGAAAGGGTCTTAAGAGACCCAGGCTGGCCTCAAACTCACTACAGAGTCAAGGGTGACTGAATTCACTCTGTAGTAAAAGATGACATTGAACTCCTGATCCTTCTGCCTCCACCCCACAAGTCCTGGGTTTACAGACTTGCCCCACAAAACTCAGTTCATGTGGTGCTAACAATCAAATGCTCTACCAACTAGGCAAGTGCTCTACCAACTGACTATGTCCCCAGCCCAGATTTTAGTCATTACCCAACATAGGGTATAAATAAGTGATCCTCTTTTAGGGGATTAAATAAGTATCTCGTTTAGGGTCTTGCATGTAACATAGTTCTTTGTAGGGTAATAGTAAGAACTTGGGAAGATGTTTGAAACTATTTACTTTTTCATAAAATTATTCCTTGGAAAGAGTAATGGACAAACTTGTGTTTTCTGACCATAATAAGAGTTATTTTGCAATGGAAAGTTAATCTCCTCATTCCTGGATTCTTTGTTTTAGTGATATTAACTGTTTTGTCCATTTTCATTAATTAAAATGAGCCACATATGGAAGTTTTCATTTTCTTCATTTTCCTAGACCTTATGCACATATCCTCTCAGTTCCTGTTTCGGAAACCGCTTACCCTGGGCAGAGTCAGTACCAGACACTGCAGCAGTCTCAACCCTACGCTGTCTATCCTCAGGCAACCCAAACCTACGGACTACCTCCTTTTGGTAAGCTGTCCTTTTTATGAGCAGTTCTTAAGAACGTTTCCATCAGTCAGAAACTTGTGTCCCTCCTCAGAAAGCAAGGAAACATTATCCTTTATAGGGTGTTTACTCATTAAGTGTGTGGTAGAAGTTGTGTTTACAGCTTTCCATAATTATTTGGTTACTCACCAAAACTTGACTATTACAAGGTCTTTACTCTGAAACTTGGGTCCCCCACCAAATGCTGAGGTTTGTGCTCAGGCCCTCCTCCTGCCATGCTAGGCTCTCTGACACTAAGCTGTGCTCCCCAAACTTTATTAAATCTTGCTACATTCGTTTAGGCTGGTCTTGAACTTGCTGTATAGTAAATGCTAGCTTGGAAGTTTCAATCCTCCTGCCTCAGCTTTCTGAATACTGGGTTTACAGGTGTGTGCCCTGACACCCCAGCTAGAGGCTTGGACTCATCAGAAGACCCGGGGATCACTGTCAACTTTACTTACTTTATTAGAATATAGTGCCATGCTAAGGGAAACGTAGTCAATATATTTTGAGGTGACTGATTTCTGCTAAAACCATGTAATCTAAATATTGATAGACTATGTCTCACGGTAGGTTTTTGTTTTGTATTGTTTATCATTGCTGTTTTCTGGGTTTTTGTTTGGCTCATTTCTCTCTCCTCCCGTACCACTCCTTCCCCAAATTGATCAAATGTTGTTCTCATGAACCAAAAGTGCTTTTAGAGTGGAAGACATCCAAAGCCATGTGCATAGGGAGTTGTTTTCATTAGTTTTATGTATCTTGGATATGAACTGTAAATCAAAATAATTTACTGGGAGTTAGTTTGAGGTTGACCATTTAGTATCTGTGGCAAATTTTTTGCCCATGTATAAAATGACAGTTATGTACAGTATGCCTTAATGCTCCTCTGCTCTAGCCTAGTTTTAAATTTTTTTGTTTTTGTTTTTCGAGACAGGGTTTCTCTGTGTAGCTTTGCACCTTTCCTGGAACTCATTCTGTAGCTCAGGCTAGCCTCGAACTCACAGAGATCCGCCTGCCTCTGCCTCCCGAGTGCTGGAATTAAAGGCATGCGCCACCACCGCCCGGCTAAAATTATTTTAATATTAATCGAACTTAATATGTTAAAAGTTAGGTTTTAGGGGGCTTATTGCTCTTGCAGAAGACCCAGGTTCAGTTGCTAGTACTGACTGTTCACAACTTTCTATGACTCCAGTTTTAGAGGACTCAGCTGTCCTCTTCTAACCTACTTGGGTACCAGGCACGCTGTAGATATACATGCAGGCAAAAGACTCATACATATAAATAAATCTAAAAAAATTAGTAAAAAAAAAAAAGTTATGTCTTTGAGACTTCATTGAAACCAGCTAAGGTGTTGTATTTTAAATCTTGTAGAGAAGTTACCCCACAGATGCTGGGGACTTGAGTGTGCGTGCGTGTAGCTTGTCCACTCCTACGCCTGTGGCTCTCTTGACCAGTGTCTTGGGTTACTGGCAGCTGTCTAACTTTTAGGCTTCTTAGCATCCTCTGGCTCCTTGGTCAATGCCAAAAAGAATTGAGGGTGTTTGTGTGCTTTCTTGTTCTGCTGTGCTGGAGATCTGTCACATAGCCTTCTGAACACTACACAAGCACTCTACCTCCTTCTGCAGACTGTTTTCTTCTCTCTCTCTCTCTTTTCTGAGAGTGTTTTATAGCCAGGTTGACCTCTAATTCTAAATCCTCCTGCCTCAGTTTCCCAAGTGCTGGAATTATAGGTATGCACCACCGTTTATGGCTCCTAGGTGGTAATAATTCATAACAGGATTTCTCTATGTTGCCATAAGCTCCGTGATCCTCTTGCTGCAGATTTCCAAGTGCTGGGGAATCCTGGCATGCACCACCATACCTTGATGTGTGGGGATTATTTCTTTCCTTTTTTAAAAAAGTTAATTTTTAAAAGATCTATTTATGTATGTATTTATGTCTGTGGGTGTTTTGTCTGCGTGTAAGGCTTCCCACAAGAAGAGGGCGTCAGATTCCATGGACTACAGTTACAGATGGTTGTGAGCCCACCCGTAGGTGCTGGGAACTGAACTCAGGACCTCTGGAAGAGCCAGTCAGCGCTCTTAACTGCCGAGCCATCTCTCCAGCCCTGTGGTCATTTATTATTGCATCTATTAAGCTAAATTTTCCTCGGATGGCTCCTGATAGGCTATGAGCTGTCCAGTAATTATTTTTGTATATCTCCCCCTCATTGTCATTGCAGTTTATGATTAGCAAGCCCAAGCTCCACAACACACTGAATAGTTGATCCCATCTGTTGTTGAATAACAGTTTCTTTTACCCTAAACTCAGTTAATAAAACACCTCACAGCCAGGTGGTCATGACACATGCCTTTAATCCCAGCACTCGGGAGGCAGAGGCAGGCAGATCTCTGTGAGTTCGAGGCCAACCTAGTTTACAGAATGAGTTCTAGGAAAGCCAGGGCTACACAGAGCAACCCTGTCTCAAAAAAACCAATAAATAAAAAAATAAGTAAATGAAGAAATGAAGAAAACACCTCACAAGGTGCTCGTGTCTTTTATAGTCATTGTATCTCTCTCATACTAGAAAAGGAAATTCTTTAAATAAAACTCTTCGGAGAACTTTTTTTATATTACAAAGACTAATTGGTAAGGATGAATATCTTTATTTATTGTAGTTGGAGGCAAGAGAAACTTACATAGATTATCCTGTCAGTAAATGGGAGAAAAAAATAATTGATTATGTTGACTTGATTTGACTTTAGGTAATATATGATACTTACTGATAAAAGACTAGGTTGGGGCAATGTATATGATAGATGTGTTTTCTTCCATTTTTCCAGGGAAGTATATGAGATATTTGCAATATATTTGTGTGCATGTATGTATGGTGTGCAACGTGTGTGTGTGTGTGCAGGTGCATGCGCCTGTAAGTCCACTCAGGCCAGAGGAGGTCATTGAGTATCCTTCTCTGTCACTCTGTCTCATCCCTTTGTGGCCCAGTCTCTCCTGAACCTGGATCCTGCGTTTTGGGGTAGGCTGGCAGTCAGCAATCCCCAGTGATCTTCCTATCCTTGCCCACCTGAGACCAGGCACATACTGAAGCCATGCTTAAATGTGGGTGCTGGGATGCAAACTCAGATCCTCATGATTGACTAGCACAACACTCCTAACCCCATTTATAATACTTTTTAAAGTTACGGTGTCTTTTCTGTTTGAATTTTGTGAATTTTGTGTGCATGTATGTGACTGAGTGCATACACAAGCGAGAGTCAGTTCTCTGCTGCCACCTGGTGGGATCTGGGGAAATCACACACGTTGTCAGGCCTGTATGTAAGTGCCTCCACCTTCTGAGCTATCACAGGCCTTCCATTTGTCTTTTTGAAACGGTCTCACTTGGCTCAGGCTGGCTTTTAATTCTGTGTGTATTTAAATCTGGCCTTTAACTCCTAATCCTCCTGCCTCCACCTCCCAGATGCTGGGATAGCAGGCCTGTGCCACCATGCCCAGCCTAGTCACCAAGTCTTTAAATATCATTTTCTTGGGACCATCAGGGTAACTCAGCAGATAGAGGCTCTTGAAGTACAAGTCTGACAACCTAAATTTGATCCCTAGAACTCGTACATAGGTGAAAGGAGAGAACCAATTCCACAAAATTGCACTGTGGTACCCACAAATGTGTATGTGAGGGTGTATACACATGAGTGCAACACTAATTTAAATAAAGACTATTTTCTTGGAATTTAATACATGGCTGTCTTTGGTATTATATTTATTTAGATGTAAAAAATGCTTCCTTTTTTTAAAAAATTATTTTTGTTTTTGAGACAATTTTGCTGTGTAGCTCCGACTGTCCTGGAACTCACTCTTTAGACCAGGCTAGCCTCAAAATCAGAGATCCACCTGCTTCTGCCTCCCAAGTGCTGGGATTAAAGAAGTTCGCCAACGCCGGGCAGTGGTGGCGCACGCCTTTAATCCCAGCACTTGGGAGGCAAAGGCAGGCGGATCTCTGTGAGTTTGAGACTAGCCTGGTCTACAAAGTGAGTTCCAGGAAAGGCACAAAGCTACACAGAGAAACCCTGTCTCGAAAAACCAAAAAAAAAAAAAAAAAAAAAGGAATTTCACCAACGCCGCCACCACCCTTTTTTTGGGAAAATGTGTCTTTTGAAGTCAGAATTTTAGTAGGTGTGTTACCCTAGTGCTGTCTTCAGGTTAACTAGTCTATTAATATATTTCAGGAATAAGTAGACTTTTGAAAATGTCATTATAATTATAGCCAGCCACAGTGGCTCACCTCTATAATTATAGTACTCAGGAAACGGAGGCAGGAAGATTGCCATGAGATTGGTCAGCCGGGGCTACATGAAACCATGACTCAAAAAAACAAACAAACCCACATACACACAAAAACACTAACTAAATAAATAAACTTTCATTATAATTATATTTTTAAATGTTTACTGTAGCTGGGCAGTGGTGGCACACACCTTTGATCCCCACACTCAAGCCAGCCTAGTCTATAGAATGAGTTCTAGGACCTTCAGGACTACACAGAAAAACCCTGTATTGATGGGGGGGGGGTGTTCACTGTATCAAGCAATATGTTAGATTAGGACTTCACATTTTGTATTATTGTCTCATTTAATCCTTAAAGCAGATCTTAGTGATATGTAGTAACATTGCCCCCTTTGAGCAACTAAAGTCATAAAATTAGTAAATGCTGAAGATTAGATTTAAGCCTCAGTCTGATAAATTCTCCTAAATTTTGGTCCTGTATCAAAAAGATGGTCTCAGAGTTCAGCTTGAAATCAAAATGTCCTTTTTAAAAAATTTGGGAAAAAAACTAGAAGAAATGTAGAAAAGTTGCTAGGGGTAGTCTTTACTCGTAATCTTTCCAGAGCTGTAGAAAGTTGGGTGATGTGATGGAAAGGGGTTGGAAGCCTCTTGTCTGGTGAACTGAGGAATGAGGAAAGGATGCTGTTCCTTTTCTTTCAGAGGCTTACACAGTGTGCTCGGAGCTGGTACTGATGTGGTTATTTTGAAAGATCTTCGATGTGAGGTGTATTAAGAGTTTATTCCATTTCTCGAATCAGATTCAGTTCTAGAAAGTTTTATCAAGTGGAACTAATTAGAGATACAAAAATTTGTTTACAGAGATACTCATTGCAGCATTATTTATATATAGTAGTAAGAACAGGCCAGGAGGTGGTGAGGGCGCACACCTTTAATCCCAGCACTCGGGAGGCAGAGGCAGGCGTGTCTCTGAGTTCAAGTCCAGCCTGGTCTACGAAGTGAGTTCCAGGACAGCCAGAGCTACACAGAGAAACCCTGTCTCAGAAGAAGAAACAAAAACAAAAAACTTAGAAACATATACATGTGCATTGGAAAAGCATATGTTAAATTGCAGTATGTCCATAGGATGGAAAACTCAGTAGCCATTATAATGTATGGTCTTTTTTTAATGTTTATTTAGTTATTTTATTTTTGTAATTATTTTGCCTGCATATATGTAAATGTGCCACATGCATCCGTGGTGCCTGTGGGAGGTCAGGAGATGGTATCAAATCCCCAGTGGAGTCACAGGTGGTTGTGAGCGGCCATGTAGGTGCTGAGAACTGAACCCGGGTCCTCTGCAAGAACAGCAAGTGCTCTTAACTGCTAGGCCATCTCTCCAGCCCCAATTTAATAGTCTTTTAATACTTACCTTTTGCTTTTTAGTTATGTGTAGGGGAGGTGGAAGTCTGTGTGTACCCCTAAGTATACTGTCTGTAGAGGCCAGAGGTATCATATGCCCTGGAACTAGAATTACAGGCAGCTGTGAGCTGCCCAACCTGGACACTCAAAACCAAGCCCAGGTCCTCTGCAAGAATAATGCATTTTCTTTACCTTTGAGCTAGCTCTCCAGCCCCCATAATTTATAGGCTTAAAATATCTATGGCTATTGGTATAGCCATTGTGGAACTTTTTCAAAAAAGTAAAAATAAAATTCACATATGTGTGGGCGTTTACCCACCAACCCCACAGCTCCTCCAAGTTTTCTTGAGTTCGAGCAGCAGGAAATATTAGATAGAAGGATTTAGATTGTGGAGATAAACAGATAGAAAATAAAGGATATCCTCGAGAGGGCCTGGAACTTATTCCAACAAGCCTTGACTGGCTCTGCCCCAGGGTATTTATAGAGACGCCAAGGGGTGGAGCAAAAGACCTCCTCCCCCAGCACAGCCAAGTGCAGACCATCCCAGACACCTGCACTCAGGCCCGTAGTCCTAATCATCCTCTATGTGGACCTGCTGGGTAAAGCCACGAGGAACCTGAAAACGGGTTCCCACACATATGGCTGAGCTGTAATACATTGGGTTTGTGTCTGAAGGACATTTAAGTCATCTATCACAGGGATACTTGAATATCCATGTTTATTACTTCACTATTCCCAATATTCAGAAAATGGAATCAGCCTTAACAATCAACAGGATTGCAACCAGGTATGGGACACACTGAAATAGAGGCAGGAAGATTAGAAATTCAAGGTCTAAAACAACAAATCAAACTGATAACCCAGAAAAATGAAATCATGACATTTACAGAAAAATGCCCGAAGTTGGAAATCATTATGTTAAGTAAAACAAGCCAAACTCAGACAATCACCAAATGTTTTCTTGGTATGTGGAAACTAGGTTTAAGTTGTATATTCGCAGGGAGGGATCTTGTAACTAGAAAGTCTTGAAAGGGGAGGAAGAGATTTTAAGGGAAGGGAAAAAGAGAAGGTGATGGAGTATATTTGAGAAGGAAGCAGAAGGAAGCAGCTGCTGAGAGATGCCAGGGTTGTGGGCAAGGAAGTGGACCTTGGGAGGGTGATGCATCAGCGTGAATTATGACACGTACCTGAAAAAACCATAATGGAACCCATTACTTTGTATGCTAACTAAAAAGTTAATTTTAAAAGCCTGCACATGCACACATACAAATATATTTGAGGTTTTAAACGAAGTGTGATAGTGCACAGGTGTAGTCCTAGTCCTTGGGAGTCAGAGGCAGAAGGACATAAGTTCACGACCAGCCTGGCTGAAAACAGTAGGACCCTGGCTCAAAAAAATACATAAATAAGTGAAGGAATGAAGGAATGCTGGGGAGGTGGCTGAGCAGGTAAAGGTGCCTGCTGACAAGGTGGTGACCTGAGTTTGATTCCTGGATCCTACATGGTAGAAGAGAAGCTGTCCTCTGACTGCGCGCGCGCGCACACACACACACACACACACACACACACACACCCCATAAAACAATTTTTGGTTTCCTCATTTGCTCTGTGCAATAGTCCTATAGAATTCAACTGTTTGGTCAGACTACTTAATATAAGGAATTCTGGAATATATTTACATGCGTAAAGGACAGGAGCTACAGTGATACTACAGGCAGTTTTCATGTTGTCTTTTATTCCTCCTTTCCTTAAAAAAAAAAAAAAGTTGTTTATTTGAGTTTCTGGCCTGGCATGATAGCACACACCTGTAATCTCCATACTCAGGACTGGTCCACATGGCAGATCTTGGCCTCAGAAAGTAAAATACTAAGTAACAAGGCTAACAAGACATTCTTACTCGATGTATTGCTGTAGATGAGAAATTGCTTTAATACTGTGTGTTAATAAACATTTTCACAAATCCAATTCTTTAGGGTCTAAACCTACTTGGGAAATACAACCACATTGCTTACAATAAATATGGAAGTTATTGTTACATGTAAATGATACTTTGCTTAACAAGAGTAAGTATATAATGCCAAACCACCAAGAATCATAGCACTGAGTCTTATCTTTTACATGTAAAATTTTAAAAATAAATAAAATAGTGGCCCAGGGAGATGTTCAGTGGGAAAGAGTGCTTGCTTCTCAAGCATGGGGATCTGAGCTCAGATCCCAAGCACCCATGTAAAAGCGAAGTGTGGCAGTGTGTGTGCCTATAACCCAAGCACTAGGGGTGGGGACAGAGGCAGGAGGATCACTAGTGCTTGCTAGCTGTCAGCCTAGCTCTAGGTTCAGAGAGAGACCCTGTTTCAAAGAGAAAGGCAGAGAGATAGAACACCGTGAGAGATGTGGGTAATTCTTCGGCAGTCCATTAGTGTAGTTAAGTTTGGATGATAGAAATATACATAACTTTTTTTTTCTAAGTTACATATTTCAAGATGTTTTTAATTTGGGTTTTTTGAGACCATGTGTTGCCATAAAGTATGCTGGCCTTGATCTCACAATCTACCTGTATCAACCTGCTGAGCACCACCACTCAGCTAAGTTATATCTTTCGGTTTTTTTGTTTTGTTTTGTTTTTTGAGACAGGGTCTCATGTAGCTGAGGATAGCCTTAAAGTTACTCTGTAGCCAGGAGTGACATTGAGCTTCTGATCCTCCTGCCTTTTCTTCCTGCGTGCTGGGGTTATAGACATGCACCACCATGCCCACTTTGTGTGATAGAATTGAAGCCAGGACTTTTACATATGTTAAGCACTTTACCAACTGAACCACCACTGGGGCCTATGTAATAGTGTTAATTTTTTTTTTGAAAGCAGACATGTCTTTCCTAATCTAGGAAACAAAGTTTATAAATCAGTTTAAGAGAAAGATGTATTTAAAGTATTTTTTAAAAACTTGCTGCCGGGCGGTGGTGGCGCACGCCTTTAATCCCAGCACTTGGGAGACAGAGCCAGGTGGATCTCTGGTTTTGAGACCAGCCTGGTCTACAGAGTGAGATCCAGGACAGGCACCAATGATACACAGAGAAACCCTGTCTTGAAAAACAAAACAAAACAAAACAAAACAAAAAACCCGGGCTGGAGAGATGGCTCAGAGGTTAAGAGCACTGCTTGTTCTTCGAAAGGTCCTGAGTTCAATTCCCAGCAACCACATGGTGGCTCACAACCATCTGTAATGAGATCTGGTGCCCTCTTCTGGCCTGCAGGCATACATGCAGGCAGAACACTGTATACATAATAAAAAAAAAATTAAAAAAAAACCAAAAAAACAAAACAACATCAACAACAACAACAAAAAACTTGCTTATCTCATGGGTAAGTGAATTTTAACTTATATAGACTATCTCCCACTTTGACAATGTGAATTTCTCATTGTACATTGACATCAGTCTTTCTGTAGGACAGGTACTCTGGTTGTTAACTCTTCTGAATCCTGGTCAATTGCTCCAACTGTTGAGATACTTCTATTGGGGTTTTAGCAAAGTTTTTGTTCCCGTGACCCCATCTTTGAATTCTGAGAATATATTTGCTTGTGGTGTAAGTAGGAGAATCAGTAATTTCTTCCTACAAGCGAATTTGTTTTAAGATTTCAACTTTAAACATAGCAGCTGGTATTGCAAGCATAGCTGTGCTCCTCAGCCCATGTGTTGTGTGTAACTGGTCCACTTTATCTGATTCAGGTGCACTGTGGCCAGGTATGAAACCTGAAAGTGGTTTAATTCAGACTCCATCTCCAAGTCAACACAGTGTTCTTACCTGCACTACAGGGTTAACCACAAGCCAGCCAAGCCCAGCACATTATTCTTACCCCATTCAAGGTAAATAGGCATGGTTGTGTGCGTGTTATTTAATTTTTATGGTTTTTTATTTTTAATCTGCCCGTATATCCAGACAAACTGGATGATACAGGAGCACTGTCAGCTAAAGAAAAAGGAATGGCATGCATTTGTGCATGCTTTTTATGTCAGGCAAATCCGAGCCAAAAGTGTGGTTTGTGAGTTGCTTAGGCTTTGAATGTGAGCTGCTTAATAGAGTGAAGCCTTCTCTTTTGCATGCTGATATCCAGAAAGCTTCTCTGGATTTGGTTCCGGTCTGGTCTCAGTGGCATCTTCACATGTAAGTTGGCGACTCCTCAAGTCAGGATTTGGCTGGCTTCTATGTGAATTGTCGGTGGAATGTGCAATGCAGACTGCTTTTCTGCTGGTGGCTTTTGTGACACCCCACCCCTACCCCACTTACTACTTCTTGGTGAGAGTATTTCTTTTGCTCAAAAAGGTGATTATGAGGCTGAGGGTGCAGGTTCGTGGTGGAGTGCTTGCCTAGCATGTGTGAGGCCCTGAGTCGCATTCCAGCACTGAAGAAAAAAGTTGATTTTCGTTCTTATTCAGGGCGAAACCTACATTTTAAGCAACTTTACTTTCCTGAGTTCTTTGAAAAGGTTAGAATTTTATAATCAAGATGGGTAGGCAAAAGGGCATATTTAATTGCCTACTCTGCCAAATCCATTGATCCAGGGTGGAAAGCAGTGTCCATGTACCTGGCTTCTCATCTGTCTCCATGCCTCTGTTTTTGTTTTCTTGTTTTACAGCCTTTTACTTTTCATTGTTTTTAAAATAAACTCCAGAGGGATGAGTGCAGACACCAAAAGCCTCTGTAGATAGGAGCCTTGCTGATGGAAAAGACTTTTAACTCTTTTTTGTTCATTGATTTGGGAATTGTTTGATTCTTGGAACAGAGAGGCCACTTTATTCTTTGTTTTGGGTTTTTATTTTAGGTTTTAATTTTATTTGTGTGTATATATGCATGTGCATGAAGGTACCCATAGATGGTGTCTACAGAGACCAGAAGATAACTTGGAGCTAGAGTTGGAGCCTGTTGTGAGCTGTCCAACATGGGTGCTAGGAACAGAGCTCAGGTCCCGGAAAACAGTGAGTGCTCTTAACCACTGAGCCATCACTTCTGCCCTCAACTTTGTTCTTAAGACCTAGGTCTAAGCTACCCTTACCTCCAGGTTTCAGAGTCTCCTCTCTTACAGTTCATCCTTTTTTTGCCCCCGCCTCCCTGTTTTCTTCCTTTCTTTTCTTTTCTTTTCTTTTCTTTTCTTTTCTTTTCTTTTCTTTTCTTTTCTTTTCTTTTCTTTTCTTTTCTTTTCTTTTCTTTTCTTTTCTTTTCTTTTCTTTTCTTTCTGCCAACCAGGAGGAACAAAGCTTAAGGACATTACCCAGGCTCACCTTGAACCTTTGGGCCTAATAAAAGAACCTCCTAACCCAGTCTTTTGAGGCCATCTGGAAGTAACACACACCATCACGTCTAATTTTGATTTTATCTTTAGTGTTTTCCTAAATTAATAGACTTTTGAGATCAACAGTGAGGTAATTAGGTCCCCTTAGGGATACACATAGGTCATGAAGGAAGAGAAGGAGGAGTAAGGGTTCTCTTCCTACTGGGGTGTAAAAATCTCCATTCTTCTGTAGTTGTTTAATGCTCACTTCTCTTCCCTTGGAAAATAAGTGGAGTCATCTTGGGGGTAAGCTGGAAGTCATTGCTGTGGTGGGTCATGAAAGCATCTGTTGGAATTCTTTCACCACTGTCCTAACCTGTCGTGTGCTAGGTGTGTGTTTCCTGTGACTCTGCTGACTGGTTTCCTTCAGTGAACACTTCTGTGTTCTCAGCCATGGCTAGGTGTTCCTCATGTCATCTTCACACAACCCTGTAAGTACTATAACCCCATTTTCAGATGGGAAGCCTGAGGCACAGAGAATCTAAGTAACTGTTCATAGTCACCAAGTAAGTAATCAAGTCAGGATGGAGGTGCAACTCTAACTCTAGAGTGTGAATGGAATATTTCTCTCAGGATTGAAATCATGGTGTCAGTATGAGCTCTCCCTATTTGAGGAACTGTACTAACAAATATCTAACTTTATTTTTCCTCCATTTATTATTAGCACTCTGACACAAGGTAGAAATTTTAAAGGCATCAAGTTGTTCATTTCTACTATTTAATCTGAAGAAAAAGTTTATAGGAAAGCATTGGCTAAGATGCTGTATAAGCGTTATTAGTGGGTTGATGTTCATGGCATTTCATAGTTAGTGCCTCTCCCCTGCTTTCTCTTCCCTCAGGACACACTGTTCTTTGGACTCTCATTTCATTCTAATACCCAATAGTCTTTGACCAGGAGTTTTCCTTTCATTAGTAGACTTTTTTTAAAAAAAGATTTATTTGTTTACGTATATGAGTGTTTTGCCTACATGTCTGTGTGTGCTTCACATGCATGCCTAGTGCTAGTGAAGAGGATGTTGGGTCCCCTAAAACTGGTGTTAACAGATTTTTGTGAGTCATGATGTGGGTGTTGGGAATAGAACCCAGGTCCTCTGCAAGAACAGCAAGTGCTCTTTCTGGCCCCTTTTTAAAACTTGTGTAGCTGTGTGTGGGTGTGTGCATATGAGTGCAGATGTCCTTGGACGCCAGGAAAGGGCGTTGGATTCCTTGGAACTGGAGTTATAGTCAGTTAGGAGCTTCCTAGCATAGGTGCTGGGAACCTAAGGAAGGTCCTCTGGGGCAGGGGGATATGTGCTCTTAACTGCTGAGCCATCTCTCCATCCCCAACAGACTTTTTTTTTAGTATACTTTTCTTGTGGAAAGAACGGTATTAGAAACCAAGATCTGGGGTTATCAAGGTGATCAGTTGGTAAAGAGGCTTGATTCCCAGGATACACTTGGTAGGAGAGTGCGGAGTTGGCCTCTGACCTCCATATGAACACACACACACACACACACACACACACACACACACACACACACACACACACACAAATGAATGTAATTTTTAAAAAGGAAAATATATGTATGAAATCACAAATGAATAGATAATGTAATATAATGTAATTTGTTTTGCTTTTGTTTTTCGAGACAGGGTTTTCTCTGTGTAGCCATGGCTGTCCTAGATCTTGCTCCTTAGACCAGGCTGTAGATCCACCTGCCTCTGCCTCCCAAGTGCTAGGATTAACGGCATGCACCACCATTGCCCAGATATAAATGTAATTTTTAAAAAAGAAATGGAGCGCTCAGGATGACCCAGGGGGTAAAATCACTTGTCTTGGAAGCTATACAACCTGAGTTCAACCCCCAGAACCCCCAGTGGAAGGGAAGAGCCAGCTCCCTCCTATAAGTTGTCTTCTTACTCACACCATGGCACACATGCACTAACATGCACAAATGAGCCTGTGGGGTCCATTCTCACTCAGACCATTGCAACATACACATGCAATAAATTATTGTTAATAATAGTAATGAAACGTTTCTTAAACCAAGATGAAGAGGGGGATCTTTGATTGGTATATAAAATGAATAAAATTTTTTTTCTTAATTTAAATAAACAAAGATGTGGGCACATTGCTACTATATAGGTATCAGGTGTCTATTTTTTTAGATACTCTGTTAAAAGAGCAAGAAATAGGCCGAGCCGGGTGGTGGTGGCGGCGGCGGCGGCGGCGCACGCCTGTAATACCATCACTTGGGAGGCAGAGGCAGGTGGATCTCTGTGAGTTCGAGGCCAGCCTGGGCTACAGAGCGAGTTCCAGGACAGGATCCAAAGCTACACAGAGAAACCCTGTCTAGAAAAACCAAAAAAAAAAAAAAAAAAAAAAAAAAAAAAAAAAAAAAAAAAGCAAAAATATGTGCTCGAACCTGTGTCAGTACACATATGTGAATATTTGAAAGTTAAACATGAATCCTTACTGATTTCTCTAGCTCTAATCCATTATCACATAGATCATTACAGACTCTGTTCATTGCTGATGTAAATCTGTACTCCACCATTTATTGTGTGTGTGTGTTTGTGCACACAAGCGTGTATGAGCATGTGCCCAGCATGCATTTGGAGGTCGGGGGACAGCTTTGGGTATCGGTTCTCCCCTTCCACCATGGAGGTTCTGGGGTTGAAGTCAGGTCCTTAGATTTGGTAGCAGATGCCCTTACCCACTGGGCCATCTCCCCAGTCCTTGTTCAGGAGATAGTACTTTGATTTATTAACCTAGCTTCTTTTTTTTTTTTTGGTTCTTTCGAGACAGGATTTCTCTGTGTACCTTTGGTGTCTGTCCTGGATTTTGCTCTGTAGCCCAGGCTGACCTCGAACTCACAGAGATCCGCCTGGCTCTACCTCCTGAGTGCTGGGATTAAAGGCGTGCGCCACCACCGCCCACCTAACCTAGCTTCTTGAGTGCAGGTTTCTTTTTCTCTTATTTTTTTTTTTTTTAAGTATATTGATACAGTCCAAGCACAGGGAATAGTACTTACATTTAGTAGATAGTGTTTGACAAATGAATGAATGACCTACTTAAGCAGTCAGTTTTAACCAAATATGCAGTTTCTGCTAGCTCCCAAAAGCTTGGAATTGGTTTGAGTTTTTGTTAGGTATTTTGTTAGGTACTGAGAGAATATAACTCTCAAGAGAGTGTCACTGGACTGTCAGCCTCTAACAGAGAAAAAGATTTTGTCCCTTCATACCTAGTGCAAGCAAGACTGAGTCTCATATTTGTTGAGTGTCATCTTTGGTTTGTTTGTTTTGTTTTGTTTTGTTTTTTGAGACAGGATTTCTCTTTGTAGCCCAGGCTTTCCTGGAATTTGAGCTGTAGCCCAGACTGGCCTCAGATTCAGCGATCCTCTTGCCTCTGTCTCCCGAGTGCTGAGATTAAAGGCGTGTGCCACCACCGCCTGGCTGAGCCTCAATTTTTATATGTTGGGTACTTGGCTAGATGCTGAAGATAATAAGATAGCAAAATACGTCTTGGTGGAGCTTACATTTTAGGGGAGGAAATAGAAGTCACAAACAGTAAGAGTTTTGTAAGGGCTCTGAAGGAAGAAAAGGTCCATTACCATGACAGGAAGGGACTCATTTTAACACAGAGAGAGAGAGCATCTCTAAGGGTCTTCCTTAGACATGTTGAGAAGTCATTGTGCTGGGAGGGAGAGGACTGGGGGCGACAGTCCTGGTTGGGGTACCTTTATTGGCCTTAGACCTTTAAGAATTTGTCTTGTTTGAGTAACGTACATAGAGCTATTGTGAGCAAACAAGGTAAGATGACGTGCTTTAAAATTAGAAAAGTGAGGCCGGGCGGTGGTGGCGCACGCCTTTAATCCCAGCGCTCGGGAGGCAGAGCCAGGTGGATCTCTGTGAGTTCGAGGCCAGCCTGGTCTCCAAAGCAAGTTCCAGGAAAGGCGCAAAGCTACACAGAGAAACCCTGTCTCGAAAAACAAAAACAAAAAAAAAAAAAAAAAAGAAAAAGAAAAAATTAGAAAAGTGAGTAAAACCCAAATCCTTTGTATATAGTTTAGGCTGACCTTGAACTTGTATTTAAAATCCTCCTGTCTCTTCCTCCAGAGCATGCTGGGATGCGGGCTAAAACTATAGGAGTGAACCACCATTCCTGACCTTGCACAAGCTTTTTTAAAATGAAAGAGAGACAGCGACAGAGGAATATGCATACAAAGAAAGAGAACAGCTTTCAGGAGTTGGTTCTCTCCTTCCTTCCATTGTGGCTTTCAGAGATCAAATTGAGGTCACCAGGCTTGTACTAATCGAATCGCTGGCCCTGCTCACGCTTCTGTGTGCCATTAGCCCTTGAGGCCGTAGCCCTTTATTTGAGCCATGCTTTTCTCATGGCAGCTCTGCTTGCTGACCTAATAGAACTTGGTTCTTAGAACAGGTGAGGAGCATGTGAAAACAGCAGGCCATTTTAGAGATCTGACAGCATTTCCATGCTTAAATAGGAGGTGTTATTTGAGTTTTATTTGGTTCTCTAAGTTTGTGCTTTCTGTTTCATGTTTCATTGTTCTTTATTACTGTAATATTGTTTATTGAGACCATCATATATGTGTGTAGGATGGTTAGTGCTCTTTTTTTTATTCCTAACTTCTTAGCCATAGTTGTATATAGGGTAAAGCATGTAGTGGTTATGTACATTTTTAGGTAAATTAACTTGGGTTCAGTGATAGTTATAAGAACCTAAAATATGCCACTTAGTTTTTAAGATTGAAGACTACTACATTTCTTTTATTGTTTTTTGGGGCTTGGATCTCATGTGGCCCACACTGGTGAATATGAATTAAATTCACTATGGATATGAGGCTGGCCTTGAATTGATCCTCCTTCCTCCACCTCCCAAGTGTACCATGCTTGATTGATTATTACATTTCTGAAACTACTTTGCCAGAGTACATTCCTCCCATGTGCTAGTGACAGGTATAATTGAGTAAGAGAGTGCTGGGCAGGAGAGGGAAGGAGGAGAATGAACTACACTCCGAGGAAGGGGAGTTGATCTGGAAGTGACTACAGGGAGAGGTGAGTGAGCTCTCTCCCCTCCCACTGAAGTCACTTGTGTTTAGTATCTTCTGCTTCAGGCCTGCCTAGGAGAATATATTGTACTAGGCTTTTTTCTTTTTGGACCACCAACCATCTCCCAAATCATGACATGGAGACATACTATTAGTTGTGAATGCTCAGCCTAGCTTAGGCTTGTTTCTGGCCAGCTCTTTTAACTTAAATTAACCTGTTTCTCTTTGTCTACCTTTTGCCTTGGTGGGGTTTTTTTGTTTTGGTTTGGTTTGGTTTTGGTTTTTCGAGACAGGGTTTCTCTGTAGCTTTGGAGCCTGTCTTGGACTAGCTCTGTAGACCAGGCTGGCCTCGAACTCACAGAGATCCACCTGCCTCTGCCTCCTGAGTGCTGGGATTACAGGCGTGCGCCACCACCGCCCGCTGCCTTGGTGCTTTTTTACCTTTCTTTTCTTCTGTATATCTTACTTTTACCCCTTCTCCGTGTCTGGCTGGCAGATGCCTGGCTTCTGACCCTGACATGTCCCTCTTTCCTCATTCTCTTCTCCTCTCAGTCTTCCTGCCTAGCCCTCTCTCTGTCCAGCTATTGACCATTCAACTCTTTATTAGACCAATCAGGTGTCTTAGGCAGGCAAAGTGAAACAATTGTCACATACCTTTACACAGTTAAAGTAATATTCCACAGCATACACAAATGTAACACATTTTTGGAGGAGGGATTTGAGACAGGGTTTCTCTGTGTAACAGTCCTGGCTGTCCTGGAACTCACTTTGTAGACCAGGCTGGCCTCGAACTCATAGAGATCCACCTGCCTCTGCCTCTTGAGTGCTGGAATTAAAGGTGTGCACCACCACCACCCAGCCTGAATGTAATACTTCTTTACATAATTAAAGTAATATTCCACAACAATATATTGCTTACAGAACCTGGAAACTACCAGAAAGTCTTTTCCCCCAAAATGACTAAAATAGTTTAGGAGTCATCTATCCTGTGTATTACTGGTTGATGCTTCCTCTTAGGAAAATGGAGTAAGCCATAGCAGAGAAGAAAGTGACTATTGATCAGAAGCAAACACCATCTATTATTATTAAATGCATTTTGTTTAGTTGTGTTTAGGAAAAGAAGTCCTTAAAAGCCCTGTAATCGCCCTGGGGCAGAGTGCTGTAGCTTGTCAGTGACTCTGAGGAAAGAGCAGCCGGAGAGAGAGGAGTTGGGAATTCCAGGTGATTATCAACCCCACTGAACACATCATCTGAACTGTTCTCTGGCCGAGCTCTTCGGCAAGCTGAGCTTGTGGCAGGAGCAGTGACTGTTTTTGTCTAGACAGGCTTTCAGCACAGTGCCCTTTGGAAGGGGAGGAACCTGGTTCTGGTCTGGCCTGAGTTCATCCCCCTGAACTTTCTCCCACTCCATCCCTAGTGGAGGTTTTCTTACTGGCTTCCCTGGAGGACTTGGTTGCTGGTCAGTTTGATTCTCTGGTGGTGGCACATTTGGTGAAGGTGACAGCAGTAGGAAATATGTCTCTGTGTTTATGATGAGAAGAGGTCAGAACTGGTGCCTTATTCATAATCCTGATGGCCCTGTCTGCCTGGGAAAGCCCTGTGCTATTGGCTAGCCACTGAAGCCTGGGTTAGTTAGAACCTCATGGGGTCTGTTACAAAAGGACGTAAAACTTAGTCCACATTCCTTAAGACAGAGTCCAGGTAACTCTGATAGAGTCTATTTTTACCTGACAAGATGAGATTTAGATTTAATATTTTCTGAGTTTTTGCAGGTTTACTGATAAAGTCTAAATAACAAATCGTAGTGGTATTTAAAATTTCTTTGTGTGCGTGTGTGTGTACATACATGTATGAATGCCCCAATGCACATGTAAGCATCAGAGGACAACTTGTGGGAACCAGATTTCTCCTTCTACCATGTGGGTCCCAGGACTCGAACTCAGGTCCTCAGTCTCGGCAGCAGGCAGCATTCATTACCTGCTGAGTCATCTTGCTGGCCCTCACAGTGCTTTCTGATCCACATTAATAACCCTTCATTTGGATATAGCAGTTCTAAGCATTTTAGAATTTGGAGAACTATTTCTCAAAGTAAATATGTCACTCCGGAAAGACATAATATGGGACAAATGGCCATAAACAATACCAGAGCAAAGGATTTACCAGCGTTCTCCTGACTCTCAGGTCACTTGCAGGGAAATCATTCTTCAGCTTCTAGAAAAGACTGGCTTAGTTCTGACTTCACTGGTGTGTCAGTGTGAGCTGTGAATTGTGTATTCATCATTCTGGGACTTTGGTCCCAGAAAGAGCGGAGGACTCGAGTTGAAGCAAACATTCCAAGTGTTTGGATTCTAATCCTGTCTCACTGAGCTATGGCATGCAAAAACAAAACAAGTGTTTGCTTTAAAAATTATTAGTGGATTTTATGTGCACGATTTGTCTTATGTCTGTGCAGCATATGTGTGCCTGGTGCCGCAGAAGCCAGAAAGAAGGCCTGTAGTTGCTTATGATTGTGAGTCATCATATAGGTGCTGGGGCTTGAACCCCGGTCTTTTGGAAGAGCAGCCATACTCTTAACTGTTGAGTCATCTCTCCAGCATCCAGCATTTGCCTCTTCAGCCAGTATTCTTTGTCTCCTCGAAGATATGTTCAGTTAAAACAGATTACTTTCCCTGTCTTTAAGCCATTTACCTGTGATCGTTAATGTCTCCTAATACTCTCAATCCTGTAGCTTCAAGCACAAATGCCAGCCTGATATCCTCGTCATCCGCAATTGCCAATATTCCAGCAGCAGCTGTGGCCAGCATCTCAAACCAGGTACCGTGCCCCATCTGTGCATCCTCCTTGATGTGATTCACCTGGCTTGCACTTTGTCTCTTCTTTCCATGGTCAACTTGCCCATTGAAGAAACAACCAGGAATAGTGTAGACTGTTGAGTCCTGGCTGAACACCCTCAGAACTCTCTGGATGCTGTCTCGTTTCTCTTGTTCCGTGCTAATCCTCCCAGGAATATGGTTCTGTCTATAGCATTACCTACTGTGTTTACCCCAAGCCTAATCCTGCCCCCACTAGAATGTGCCCTCCATAAAGGGCAGGGATTTATTTTTCTATTTTTGTTGACTTTTATGTTCCCAGAGCCTAGACAAACCCCTGGCACTCACTTAAAAGGCACTCATAAGCATTGTGGGTGAATAAATACTACCTCCACTCATTCCCTTGTTAATTGTTTGCAATTAGTCTTTTGTTCTTTTCTTTCTGGTTTTTGGTTGTTCAAGACAGGAGTTCCCTGTGTAGCCCTGGCTGTCCTAGAAATCACTTTGTAGACCAGGCTGGCCTCGAACTCACAGAGATCCACCTGCTTCTGCCTCCTGAGTGCTGGGATTAAAGGCGTGTACCACCATGCCCAGCCGTGATTTGGTCTTGATCACTGTTACATTACGTGTGTGCTTAAATGCTCACTGTAGCATCTTCAGAGTTTGTTTTGTTTTGAACATGCTCAGACTTTTCTCGGCAGCAACTGCTATGACCACTGCTGTTTCCACCAGCTGTTTTGGCTACAGTTCACCTACTCTGATCGACTTTCTGTGTCTCACTGTCCCACTCTTGCTGCCTTTGTTCTTTCTTAAGTGCACAGTTACCTTGGGGTTGAGGGGGCGCTGTTTTGTTTTGGGTGGGTGGGTTGTTTTTTTGAAGTAGGGCCTCACTATGTACCCTTCGCTGTCCTGGGATGCGCCATAGTCCAGGCTGGCCTCAAACTTACATTGACCCTCCTGTCTGTCTCCTGTGCTGAGGTCACATGCCACCACAGTGGCCCGGTGTATCTATTGAATTCCTCCCTGTCCTCCATGCAGCCCTGTGCAGGCTCCTTTCTTTCATAGCTTTCCTCTTGGTGGTCTTCTGAGGACAGTGTCCTTAGGTTTTCACATTATAACTTACTTCTGAAGAGTGTTGGACCAAACTCACATTGTCAACTTAGATGATGCATCTGTACTACTCAGGTTTCTGCAGTTTGAAAATCATTGCTTTCTTGGGACTGCTAGGTAGGTAGATAAATAAGAATACAGTGTTTTAGGAAAATAATTAGGACTAATAGGGAAGAGAAAGCCTCTTGTGTTACTACCTCTTGTAATAGTCTTGTTCTCCTCCCTTTGGCCCACAGGACTATCCCACCTATACTATTCTTGGACAGAATCAGTACCAGTCCTGCTACCCCAGCTCCAGCTTTGGAGTCACAGGCCAGACTAACAGTGATGCTGAGAATACCGTATTAGCAGCTACCACATACCAGACCGAGAAGCCTAGTGCTGTGCTACCTGCACCAGCCACACAGAGACTTCCCTCTGGTGAGTACAGAAAGCCAGACTAAGGACACTTCGTCCAACAGGTTTCCAAGTAATGGTAAAAATGGTTTTGTTCTGGGCTAAGTTGCTTTCACTGTGCCATTGGTTTCCCTTTCCAGTTTAAACTTTGCAAACAGACTGTGATGAGAAAGTAGCAAAAAAAAAATCCGTAGCTGCTGAGAGCAGAAAAGTGGTAACAGTGAGAAGATGTGTTTCTGTGCATACTCTGCCCTCCCAGTAAGTGTGACACACTGGACAGGGCTCTTTAGACTAAGGGCGTATTGTTCAAGGTTGCAGGGCTCCAGTTTTAATCCAGGCATGTCTTAGACTGCTGCTAGGAACTCAGCAGGAGATTCTGTCTCTTAAGTGTCTTTAAGAGTCCAAGAACAGCTACAGTCCTTTCCCAACAGTCCTGACATTTGACTGGCAAGTCTAGACACTGCCTGTGAGTGGCACTGGGGCTCGTGGCTCTGCCTGCACTGCCACCAACAGCCCGAGGAGTACCCTTCCACTTAGGGACTTCTCACTTGTGTAAAACCCAATCCCTGGGGCTGGAGAGATGGCTCAGAGGTTAAGAGCACTGACTGTTCTCTCAGAGGTCCTGAGTTCAATTCCCAGCAACCACATGGTGACTAATAACCACCTGTAATGAGATCTGGCGCCCTCTTCTGACCTGCAGGCACAATACTGTATATGTAATAAATAAATCTTAAAAAAACAAAACAAACAAGCAAAAAAAACAATCCTTGACTATACTACAGAATTCTAGAATGAGCCAGAATGAACCAAGTTAGTGAGTAGATGAGAGAAAGTACATGCTTTACAAGTATAAGTATGGGAACTAGAATGCTTGGGAAAGACCACACAGCCCTTGAAGCTGTGGCTCAAGAGAGTTGTACTTTACAATGGCTGCAGATAGGATTTTGTGTCTAAGTTACATTGCTCAAAAAATGCAATTTACAACAAAATTTAAAGAATAAACAGAACTTAAAATTTAATGTTTAAATGTTAAGTAAAAAGGCTGGATGTGGATGTGGTGTCGAACACCTTTGACACTTAGGAGCCTGAGGCGGTTGGATATCTGTGAGTTCTAGGCCAGCCTGGGCTATAGAGTGAGACCATATCTCCAACAAACAAACAAACAAACAAACAAACAAATAAACCCAAAGGTTACAGATTAGTTCTTCCATTTTGGACTAGAGATGACTCCATAGTTAAGCACACTGACTGTTCTTCTAGAGGACCTGGGTTCAATTCCAGGCATCCACATGGAAGCTCACAACTGTCTGGAACTCTAGTAGTTCCAGGGGATCTGATATTCTCTTCAGGCAAAACCCTCATTCATATAAAATAACAATAATTTTTTAAATATAAAGCTGATTTATTTATTTCTCTTAAAAAAATTTTTTTTAGATTTGTTTTATGTCTGTATGTGTTTTGTGTGCCTGTGTGCTTTTCTGCTGCCCTTGAAGGTCAGAAGAAGGCTTTGGGTCCCCTAGAACTGGAGTTACAGGTGGCTCTGAGTTTCCATGTGGGTGCTGGGAACTAAACCCAAGTCTCCTCAAAAGCACCAAGTGCTTTTATCCACTAAGCCATCTCTTAGTCAAGGCCATTTTCTTCATAAATGAAATTGTAAGGTGATTTTTTTCATGAGGTGTATTGTTTAGCTTTAGGAACAAGAGAGGGGGTACTAGTACAATTAAACTTGAGGTCATACATTCTGGCCCTAAATAGACATAATTTGTTGTTTGCTGCCCTTTGGGGATGTCTTTAGGAAGGCAGATACTGTCTCTGTAGGCCAGTGGTTCTCAACATGTCTGTCATAGCCCCTTGGGGTTGTCCAGTGACCCTTTCACAGGGGCTGCCTAAGACCATCAGAAAACAGTTATTTACATTACAATTCACAACAGTAGCAAAATTACAGTTATAAAGTAGCAATGAAAATAATTTTTTGGTTGGGGGTCACCACAGCATGAGGAACTGTATTAAAGGATCACAGCAATGGGAAGGTTGAGAACTACTGATGTAGGCAGATGTTGTCTCTGTAGGCAGTTCTGGTTACTTCAGTCTCCCTGCCAGATTGTGGTGTATGGGGCTTCTCTCTCTTCCCAGGTTCCTTTATTTTAAACCCTGTTTTTTTTATTGCTCCTCATGCCGACCCCTCCCCTTACTGTGATTCTCATAGCCTGTGACTGCTGACGCTTTTCCTTTCAACAGACTCATCTACAAGCCCATCTTTGTCCCAGACTACACCAAATAAAGATGCCGATGATCAGTCCAGGAAGAATATGACTGTCAAGAACCGGGGCAAGAGGAAAGCTGATGCCGGTTCCTCCCAGGACAGCGAATTAGAAGTATGTGAAGAAACTCACTGGAGTTCCATGTTCCGTTTTCCTCACTTCTTGTCAAGTGCATGTCTGGAATTTGCAGAGATAATGTTATTGTATGTTGTATCCACTTGAATTCCTGGGGTGGGGCCTTAATTGACCAAAAGGAAAAAAAAAAGTAAGTAAAAGAAAATCCTTCCATGTGCACAACTTAACTTATATATCCCTTCCAACTGTTTTCACCAAAGCACTGAAAAACCTTTCTGATTCAGGGTAATTTTAACAGAAAGACAAATTCTTCTCCACATGGAGGACAGAAAGAATACACTGCATCTTAGGAGGAAGCCAAGGGAGCTATGAATGATGTCATCCTGTTTCCATTGAAATCACAAAGGAAGTGGGAGGAATAGAGTGAGTGATCTGTGAGACACACAGATCTGGAGACTGCTTGATGAGAGTGCAGGGACCCGTGCTGTGCTGTGGGCACTATGGGCACTTCCTGTGGTCATAGATTTCAGTTATGGTTAGAAAGAATAGAAAAACATACAAAATTCTAATGTTAAGATTGTTACATTACTTTTTTTGTGGTTTTAGTTTTTCTTTGATGTGGTTATTTAAAGTAAAGAGATAAATTTAAATGTGTTCTTTGACACAAGTAAATTGAAACTGCTCTATAGAATCTGTCTTCCTCTTCATTTCTGGGGTGCAAACCCAGTAAGAAATAGGGAAACTGTAGCTAGAGTTTTCCTGCCTGGCCCACAGTCAAGACAAATCTCTCTCACCTGCCAGTCCCACAGCCTCTCAGACCTGATCAAGTAAACACAGAGACTTATATTGCTTACAAACTGTATGGCCGTGGCAGGCTTCTTGCTAACTGTTCTTACAGCTTAAATTAATCCATCTCCATTAATCTACACCTTGCCACGTGGCTCGTGGCTTACTGGCATCTTCACATGCTGCTTGTCATCGTGGCGGCTGGCACTGTCTCTCTCACTCAGCCTTCCACTTCCCAGAATTCTTCTCGTCCTTGTCCTGCCTATACTTCCTCCTGTCTGACTACTGGCCAATCAGTGTTTTATTTACTAACCAATCAGAGCAAAACATTTGCCATACAGAACATCCCACAGCAGGAAACTAACATTCTGATATCATTCTTAGGAAAAATGGACAACTCTCTTTTTTAAAATTTGTATCAAAGAGTATATGATGCAAAACTATACCGTTTTTGCTGGATATAGTACACACCTGTAGTCCCATGAATTCGGAAGGCAGCATCAGGAGATCAAGGTCACCTTTGGCTGCATGAGTTGCCTGAGACTCCACCTAAAGAAAGCTTTTTAAAGGACTTTACTGTTTGTTACAATTTGAAAATTTTTATGTGTATGAGTGATTTTTTTTTCTTTTTTTATGTGTGGGTGTTTTGCCTGCATGTATGTCTGTATACCATGAGCATACCTGGTGTCTACAGAGGGCAGAAGAGGTTGTCTGGTCCCCTGAGACTGGAATTAGAGACAGTTGTGAGCCCACATGGGTGCTAGGAGTCAAAACCTCTACACCAGCAGCCCCAACGTTACCATTTTAAGAGCATAATCCAGTGTTATTAAATTTATTAGCCACCATTTCTGGAACATTTTCGTGTTCGTTTTTCTTTGTTTGAGGCAGTCTTGCTCTTGCCTTGAACTCCTGGGCAATCCTGCCCCATACTCCTAAGTGCTGAGGTGACAGGCATGAGCCCCTCTGCCCTGTGTTCAGAACCTTTTCGTAGTCCTAAACAGCCTGGGTACCTTTTAAACGGTAGCTCCTCATACTCTTTCCCAGCTCATGACAGCAACTGTTCTGCCTCTGCTACTGTGAATTTGCCTGTCTGGATACATCTCACTGTGAACGGACAGTCTGTTTCCATTTGTCAGGCTCATTTCACTAGTGGAATGCTTTGGGGATTCATCTGTTGCAGCATGGATCATAATTTCATTCTTTCAATGGCGTATTGCATCTTGCTTATCTTGTATCTGTTGAAGGACACTTCACTTTTAGACCAATGTGAATAATGAGGCTTTGAGTACTTCATACTATACTTCTTGAGTTCTTTATCCAGAGGAGTGGAAATTGCTAGATCTTATTCTGTGTTCAGCTTTTTGAGGAGTCTCCAGATCTTTTACACTTTTACATTCCTGCCATTAGCCAGATTCTCATCAATGTTTGATATTTCTCCTCTCCCCTTTTTAAATTGTATTTTAGGTGGTGGTGGTGGTGGTGGTGGTGGTGGTGGTGGTGGTGGTGGTGGTGGTGGAGGTGGTGGTGGTGGTGGTGGTGGTGGTGGTGGTGGTGGTGGTGGTGGTGGAGGTGGTGGTGGAGGTGGTGGTGGTGGTGGTGGAGGTGGGGTGGTGGTAGTGGTGGAGGTGGGGTGGAGGTGGTGGTGGTGGTGGAGGTGGTGGAGGTGGTGGTGGGGTGGTGGTGGGGTGGTGGTGGAGGTGGTGGGGTGGTGGTGGAGGTGGTGGTGGTGGTGGTGGTGGTGGTGGTGGTGGTGGTGGTGGTGGAGGTGGTGGTGGTGGTGTAGGTGGTGGTGGTGGTGGTGGTGGTGGTGGTGGTGGTGGTGGTGGTGGAGGTGGGGTGGTGGTGGTGGAGGTGGTGTAGGTGGTGGTGGTGGTGGTGGTGGTGGTGGTGGTGGTGGTGGTGGTGGTGGTGGTGGTGGTGGTGGTGGTTGGTGGTGGTGGTGGAGGTGGTGGTTGGTGGTGGTGGTTGGTGGTGGAGGTGGTGGTGGAGGTGGTGGAGGTGGTGGTGGTGGTGTTGAGACAGGGTCTCTCCTCATTGCTCAGGCTGTCTTGGAACTTACTATGTAAATTAGGCAAGCCTGGAACTCACAGTGATACACCCAGCCCCTCCCCTTTTAAAATGAAAGCTCCCCTGTTGGGTGTAAAGTGACATCTCACTGTAGTTCTTATTTGCATTTCCCTAACGACTAATGATATTAAACATCTTTCCATGACCTGGAGTCCTAAAGCTTTGTAGTGTTTTGAAATTAAAATGCGTGACTCTCCACCTTTGTTCTTTCTCCAGGGTGATTTTGGCTATTTGGAGATCCCATCAGATTCCCTATGAATTTTTCAAGTTTCTTTTCTTTTTTTAAACCTCAGTTTATTTTAAATTGATAATAATTAAGTTCAGTTTCACATAAACACTGTTTTAACTTGAGTTTAACTTTAACACACACTGTGGAGGGGCTGGAGAGGTGGGTTAGGGTCAAGGGTACTTGTTAAGAACCAAGGTTTGGTTCCCAGCACCCACATGGTGGCTCACAGCCGTCCATAACTCTAGTCCCAGGAGACCCGATGCCTTCTTCCAACCTCCAAGAATACCAGGCATGCATATGGTGTTCAGATGTACATTCAGGCAAAACAGCCATACACATAAAATAAAAATAAACCGAAGGAAAGAATTTTAAATAAACAACACAGGAGATTTGGATGTGATTCAGGCTGTAGATAGACTTGGGTGTTGCCATTTTAGCAATATCGTCTTCCCCTCTGTGAATATTTATATTTATGTTTTTCCATTCTCGGCAGTATTTTAGGGTTTTCAGTGTATTGTGCAAATCTTTTATTTCGTTGGTTAAATAATTACTCCTGAGTGTTATTTTCGATGGGATTGATATTTTTTTTTTGTTTTTTGGTTTTTCGAGACAGGGTTTCTCTGTGTAGCTTTGCGCCTCTCCTGGAACTCACTTGGTAGTCCAGACTGGCCTCGAACTCACAGAGATCCGCCTGGCTCTGCCTCCCGAGTGCTGGGATTAAAGGTGTGCGCCACCACCGCCCGGCGGGATTGATTTTTAATCTTTTTTTAAAATCACCCATCGCATTAAAACATCAGGTTTCGTTTTTTTAATGTATTGAAGACATTATACTCCAAGCCTATTGAGATATGTATATATTTTATAAATGAAAAGGCACTGAATTTTTGTCAGATGCATTTTTTGCATCAATTGAGATTATCATGTGTTTTTCCTCTTTTAGTACGTTGCATTGATTAATTTTATGGACTGAATGAACCGTCCTTACATTCTAAGAACTGATCCCACTCAGTCATGATATATAGTTATTTTTATATGTTGGGGAGTTTCACTTGCTACTGTTTGGTTGAGATATGTGCACCGTTTTTCATGGGGGCTTTCCATGATGCTCTGGTCTTGTCTGGTCTTAGAGTAACACTGGCTTCACTGTATGAATTAGAGAGTGTTCCTTCCTTTTCAGTGTGTCTGTGGGAAAATTTAGAAAGAATAATGCTAATTCTTACTTAAATGTCTGCTGTAATTCACCAGTGAGGCCACTGAATCTCAGGCTTTTGGGGGGGGGGGGGTGAGGGGATGTTTTAAATTATTGACGTCATCTCCTTACCAGTGGTAGATTTTACCAAATTTTCTGCTTTTTCTCAAGCCAGTTTAGGTTGTATTGTGTGTTTCTTAGGAATTAAACTATTTTACCTGGTTACCCAACTTGTTGGCACACAGCTGTTGAGAATTCATAGTCTGGGTCCTGGTTTCTCGGAAGTCACAGCATGGTCTGCGCTTGCATTTGTGGTCCTAGTAATTTGAGATGTTTTTCCTCTGTCAGTCTTGGTGAATGTCAGCTCTGTTGATGTTTTCAGAGACCCCATCGTTGCTTTCGTTGGCTTTTCTCTGTTGCCCTGTTCTCTCTTGGTTCTCTCTACTTTCTACATCACTATTGCCTCCCTTTGTAACTGGCTTCAGTGTGCCCTTCTTCTCTAGGCCTTGGATGGATACTGGGGTGTGGCTGTAATTTGAGAGCTTTCTTCTTCTGGGACTGGGGATTGAACCCAGAGCCTTAGCCCTGTAAAACACGAGCTCTTCCCTGAGCTCTTGAGGTTTCTGCTTCCTTTGCCTCCTTCCCTTTGTTATGGATTCTTTATATGTAGCGTTGGTGGGCCACAGCAGTTAACAGTCCCTGTCTCCACTCAGTTCAGGGATTGCAGGCATGCTCCCGTGCCAGCTGCTTTTTTTTTGTTTTTGTTTTTTTTTTTAAATAGGGTCTCTATGGGTATCCCTGGCTAGCCTGGAATTCTCTGTGTAAATCCAGATGGCTTCAAACTCACAGAGATCCCCCTGCCTCTGCTTCCCAAGTGCTGGAATTAAAGGCGTGCTCCCGTGCCAGCTGCTTCCTTCTTTTTTAATGTATGCATTTACATTTAAAATTTCCCTTTCAGCATTGCTCACTGTGTCTCGTAAGTGTTACTATGTTGCATTTATTTACACTATATTAATTACTACCATTCATCTCTAACTTTATTTAGATTTCTTTTTTGGACCATTGATTATCTAAAATTGTGTTACTAAACTCCTACATATTTGTGGATTTTTTATTTTCTTCATTTTATTCCACTGTGGTTGACAGATAACTCATATTTTTGTCTCTCCCTCCCTCCCCCCAGCGGGTATTTCTCTGGGACTTGGATGAAACCATCATCATATTTCATTCCCTTCTTACTGGATCCTATGCTCAGAAGTATGGAAAGGTAATTCAAGTCTTTTGTTGTAATTCCCTCCTCTGGCGAGATGAGCAGCTGACCTAACTCTCCCGACTGTTAAGGTAGAAAATCCTAGCTATTGGCCATTCAGCTTTTTACTAGCTCAATCAGGTGCCTTGGTCTTGTAGCACAGACTGGTCTCGAAATGTCAATTATACTACTGCCTGTAAGCCTCCTAAGTGCTGAGATTACAGGTGTGAGCCACGACCCCTAGAAATAAAGCAGATGTGCTTTTTACAAAATGAATTGTACCAAACAAAATTCAGTATGTTTAATCTGCAATGTAAACATTACTTTAGCAGAAGAATGAGTTGTAAGAAGGTTAGCTCTGTGTATTTCTTTTTTCTCTTAAGACAAAATCTCACTGTGTAGCCTTGGCTGTCCTGGAACTCAGTCCTCCTGCCTCAGCCTCCTGAGTGTAGAACTGTGTTTCTCTACACATCATCTCCAGGATCATGTTTCTTCCTTTCTAGAAATAAATTATAAATTATAAAAATAACTTTGTTGTCTGGCTACTCCCAGTTATCTTGGGTTGCCAGGAATCTCTTCTTTGAGTACTTTTCAGAGCCTGGCCAGTGGACAGAAGCTCCAAAACTACATCCCTAAATCCCTTAGGAAAATACGCTCTAAGTGAAGACTGATGCTACTTTTTTTTTTTTTTTTTTTTTTTTTGTTTTTGTTTTGTTTTTCAAGACAGGGTTTCTCTGTGTAGCTTTGCGCCTTTCCTGGAACTTGCTCTGGAGACCAGGCTGGCCTCGAACTCACAGAGATCCGCCTGGCTCTGCCTCCCGAGTGCTGGGATGAAAGGCGTGCGCCACCACCGCCCGGCTCTGATGCTTCATTTTAAAGCAACCTCATTGGTTGCCCTGCACATACTTTGACTCTGGCCTTCTTTACTTCCTGGCTGGTAGGATTGTTAGGTGTCTAGTGTTCCACGTGTTGTAGGAGCAGAAAAGGGATTGTGCACATTACAGTAGCAGTATTTTAATCATTGTTATAATTTCCCTTTTATGAAAATACTGGTTTCTAAAATTGAAATCTTGACTTTTTTTTTTTTTTTTTTTTTTTTTTTTTGGTTTTTTCGAGACAGGGTTTCTCTGTGTAGCTTTGCGCCTTTTCCTGGAACTCACTTGGTAGCCCAGGCTGGCCTCGAACTCACAGAGATCCGCCTGGCTCTGCCTCCCGAGTGCTGGGATTAAAGGCGTGCGCCACCACCGCCCGGCTGAAATCTTGACATTTTTATTAATAACTGTCCATAGCCTCTGTATTCTGTAATCCCAGGTTCTTATAAATGTGAGTGAAGTTGCATCAGTAAGATTTAAGTACTGTGTGACTGGTATTGTGTTAGACTAGGCTCAGAATAGTTTTGAAATGTCTAAAAGTCAGAACCAGTGCTGTGAGTACTGCATCGAGCACTCTTCTTACTCCTTTTTTTGTTCCAGGACCCAACAGTAGTAATTGGCTCAGGGTTAACAATGGAAGAAATGATTTTTGAAGTGGCTGATACACATCTGTTTTTCAATGACTTAGAGGTAAGTGGTTTAAATTGTTTTTCTGCTTCTGTGAGGTGTTTTGTTCTGTAATTGTTCGTGCCTGGGCTTGATTTAGTAGGTGGGAGATTAGATAAGACGGTGGGAAGGTTATGCTAACAGAACACCACGGGCCTCTGTCTTGGGAAGAACAGTGTCATGGTTATCACCAGATCTCAGTAGAGCTACTTTAGACTTAGTTGATTTTGTTTCGTTTTTTTAGGAGAGTTGGAGACGTGATGTTTTGTCTCATTTTGTTTTGAGACGGGGGTCCCATGTAGATCACACAGGCCTCAAACTCACTGTTGAAGATGACCTTGAACTTGTGATTCTCTTGCCTCTACCTCCTGTGCTAGAATTACAGGTGTGCCACCATGCAGGGGGTTTATGCAGTGTTGGGGGAAGAACAGAGAGAGGGGTTTGTGTGTGTTAGGCAACCATTCTACCAGCTGAGCTAGGCCAAGTTAGAGTTTGTTGGAAGAGTTTAAAAGATACTTTTAAACGTAGATTTTTAAGCACAGGAGTTAATACAAAGAATGGCACTAGGAAAGAAAGTATAAGAAAGGTTTCTCAGAACCTGTCCCCCGAGGCAGGTCTGGTGACACACACCTATCACCCCAGCAATTAGGAGGCTGAGGAAGGAAGATCATGGGTTCAAGACCTGTCTCCAAAAAATAAAATAAAAATTTATATTTGTCTTGGTTACTTTATTCGGGAGTAAAGTACAGGAACACTAATATAAAAGTCAGTGATCTAATATGTTAAATTTAAATAATATATAAAGGGTCTCATCATTTCTACTCATAATTGGTTTTGTTTGTTTTGTTTTGTATGAGCCGACTCACTATGGAGCTCTAGCAGGCCTGAAACTGTAGCCCAGGCTGGCCTTGAACTAACAAGAGCTCCACTTGCCTCTGCCTCCTGAGTGCTGGGATTAAAGGCGTGCGCCAGCATAGCCTGCTACTGCTTCTGCTGCTTTAAAAAAAAAAAAAAAAAAAAAAAAATTCCTTCCTTTTTTCTCTTTTTTTTTTTTTAAAGTGTGTATGGGTGTTTTCTATTCATGTTTGTGTCCAAGCATAAAACGGAGGCCAGAAGAGGCATCAGCTCCCCTGGGACTGGCATTACAACTGCCCTATGGGTTGTGGGAAACAAACCAGCCCCTCTGGAAGAGCAGCTTGGTCTCTGAGCCGTGTCCAGTCCCTATGCCCAGCTTCTTGATTATATCTTGACTATTTAATTTTACCTTTTTTTTTTTTTTGGTTTTTCGAGACAGGGTTTCTCTGTGTAGCTTTGCGCCTTTCCTGGAACTCACTGGTAGCCCAGGCTGGCCTCAAACTCACAGAGATCCGCCTGGCTCTGCCTCCCGAGTGCTGGGATTAAAGGCGTGTGCCACCACCGCCCGGCCTAATTTTACCTTTTTTTTAAAAAAAAAAAAAAAAAAAAAAAAATTACCCTTTTGGTTCCTTCGTCTCTCATTGATAGATGATTACTGTAACTTGTTGCTATTAGATGTTTTTTGGTCCACTTTAATTGACTATTTTTTCTTTTCAATGTAATTTGTCAAAGGTCATTATATGACACAGATCATTTATGCAGTATCATATATGCAGTATAAATATTTTCTTTAAATAATTTGCATGCCTTTTGGAAATCCATAATTTCTTAGTTTTAATGAAGTATCATTTACTATTACATTTTTCTTATATTAAAATGTTTCTGGCTCTTGTTTAAAGTATATTTGCCTACTTTCAACTGGCAAAGATATTCTTCTGTGTTTTCTTATAGAAACTTTTAATATTTTTTGTTTGGTTTTGAATTTTTTGTTTTGTTTTGTTTTGTTTGCTTGTTTTTGGCTTGGAGGTTTTTGAGACAAGGCCTAAGTCTGTAGAACCCAGGATGGCTTTAAACTTAAAATCCTTTTGCCTCAGCTACCTGAGTGCTGCCATTACAGGCATACACTCCCACACCTGGCTCTGACTGTAGCTCTCTACATGTGTATTACCCATGTGTGTGTAAGTGAAGCTCTGTGTACTCACTGTTTTATGATGGGGGCTAGGAGAGTAGAACAAGCGGAGACTACGTGGTGAAAACTCTCGGCTTGGCTTTTCGAGTTTCCCTGAGAAGTGAACATGGTTCAACAGATGACAGGATCCAGAGTGGGAGAAGTGCGGAGTGGGAGTCTTGGGCTGGGAAAGTCATGTCCCATCCCGGGCTTGAGCCATCATCCCTGTTGAAGAGACTGGTGATAGTTGTTCCGGCCAGAGGAGTGGGTACCGGGAAACAGGACAGAAGAGGACAGGGAGCCGGTGTTTTTACTTCATGCCTTTACACGCCACACTGTGTGCTGCATATATTACCTCACTTTTAAAAACAGTAATTCTCAAGTAAAAGAACATCTTACAAACACAAAGTAAGCCTGTTCTTTTTAAATACAGACTGTTCTCCAGCAAATCAGATTATTCTGGCTCTAACTCCAGTGCTCTGACCTAAGCTCTACAATGCTTCCATCTTCCCTCAGCTTCACATGTTGACATGTTGGGACAGCGTAGTTTTTCATCAGATTATTCTGGCTCTAACTCCAGTGCTCTGACCTAAGCTCTACAATGCTTCCATCTTCCCTCAGCTTCACGTGTTGACATGTTGGGACAGCGTAGTTTTTCATCAGTTGAAAACATTAGTTGAAAACCGACTGTGTGGCAATAATTATTCCCAAATTGTATTTGTAATGATTTTCTAGACATAGTCTGCACTCAGGACTGAAAGTACTGGAAGAATTTGACCTGAATGTGTTCCTGCCCCCCAGATCAGTAGTTCTCAACTTTAGGGGGCATAAGAATCCCTGGGGAGTGTCCTAAAATTGGAGATTTTAAGACTTCAGTTCCAGAAGTCCCAGTAAGTCTGTCATGGACCTGAGAAAATGCATTCTTAACCCCTTCCCCAGAGGACTCTGGTATAGGTGCCCTCTGGTGTCAGGGGAAACAGCAGCCAGTTACGCTCCTTCTAGTCTCATTCTACCACTCACCAGTGTAGGACCCTGAGAAAACCGTGTTCCCCCCTTTAGAATACAAGTTCTAGATCTAAGCGTTGACTTGGATGGCCTGTGCTTAGGCTTATAGTGTAGGTAGGCATTTCTGTTCCAGCTCTTCTGTTTTTGTTTTGTTTTTAAGATTTGTGTATTGAATGCTCTATCTGCATGTACACCTGCATGCCAGAAGACGGCATCAGATCTATTATAGATGGTTGTAAGACACCACGTGGTTGCCAGCAATTGAACTCAGGACCTCTGGAAGAGCAGCTGGTTCTCTTCTGATACCATACTTTACCAGCATCTGTTTCATCTACAAAAATTAATTGTATACAATCAGGACAGTGGTGTGTAAGCCTTTAATCTCAGCACTTGGGAGATTGAGGCAGACATCTCTGAGATTGAGGTCAGCTTGGTTTACAGAGTGAATTCCAGGACAGACCAGACTACAAAGAGAAACCCTGTCCTTAAAAAAAAAAAAAATCAAAAAAACAAAACAAAACAAAACAAAAACCAATTAATTGGGTCCATGCTACATAAAGACATTGGATTAGATGAAGATGGTACATTGAGGGCTGGAGACAGGGCTCAGTGATTAAGAACACTCACTGCTCTTCTGAGGACCTGGGTTCAGTTCCCAGCGCCTAGGCCAAGTAGCTCACAACTGCCTGTAACTCTAGACCCAGGAGATCTGACCTCCTTCTTGCTTCTGTTTGTAGTTTGCACATGTACATCTACAGACACACACATACACATAAAAAAATAAATAAATCAGCCGGGCTGTGGTGGGGCACGTCTGTAATCCTAACACTTGGAGGCCGAGGCAGATCTCTGAGTTCGAGGCTAGCCTAGTCTACAGAATGAATTCCAGGACAGCAAGGGCTACACAGAGAAACCTTGTCTCGAAAAAATAAAATAAAATAAATCTTAAATGATGCAGAGGAGGTATAAGTCCTGCAGCCTATGTTATAGTAGAATTTACAGTGTAATAGAGAACATAGAGGCACTGGGCAGTGTGAAGAGGGGCTGTGGTGGTCCCTTCACCTGGGGACATGAACTGTTGTGGGAAGAGCAGAACTGAGTGATGGAACTGTTAAGGGAGGTTTCTTAAAGACGATCTGCTGTATATCAGGTCTTCAAGTCCTTCAACAATGGGGAGGTCCACATGCTAGACAGACTATGAAGTATTGCATCATCCTGCCATTATGTGTGGTCCTTTATAGTGTGTCATGGAGTAATAATACACTTCTGTTCCCTGGAGTGAAATAGTGTATTTTGTCTTCTAACAGGAGTGTGACCAGGTGCATGTGGAAGATGTGGCTTCTGATGACAATGGCCAGGATTTGAGGTGTGGTAAACACAGTGATGCCTTGAACATCAGTACGTCCAGTATGTGCAAAATACGGAGTTCAGAGGAAGAGAAAGATAAAAACGCTCACTGTCTATTGTTAGAAGAGTCAGAAACCAGTGTAATTAACCATGACATTATGAGGCAGTGATATAAAAGTGATGGGAAGCAGAGAAGGAAGAGAAGTGGTAATGATCTGTATAGGGAGCAGGTCACCACCGTTAGAGAGCCTCAGTCGTGTAGCGTTTGACCAAGACCTCAAGAAATATCAGGGAGGGATACTAGATGATGAACCAGCATCTCAGAGTGAAGAGTATACTGCTTGCTGCTGCTGGTTTCCCTTTACCTAGATTTTCTGTCAGGGGAAAGCATGCTTCTAGACTGGGCAGTCCTAATTGCATATAAGCCTCAGGCCTTTTGCTCAGTAATTGTGGAAGTTTGGGGGTGTCAGGAATAACCCTGTGAACAGTAGTCTTAGCTGTCTTATTGCAGTGAGAACCAAGCCAGGGCAGTCCCGTTGGCAGCTCAGTCTCCTCATTCCTCTGTTAGCAACTCTTTCTTCTGGTCTTTTAAAAATAGATAGTATTGCTTACCGTTGCATATATAGATGCATGTGTGCATGCATGCGTGCGTGCATGCATGCTTGTGGAGGTCAGAGAACAACTTTGTGGACTCAGTTCTCTCCTTCTACCTTTACTTAGTATGTGATGATTCATTCGGGTCACCAAGCATGGGTGGAAAGCACGTTTACTTGCTGAGCCATTTCAATGGCCCTGGCCCAGTGCAAGTTCCCAAACATTTAAAGACTTTAGAAGAAAAAACTATCCTATCTTTTCTTTTCTTCTTTTTTTAAGTTTTACTTTTTAAGTATACAGTGTTGCAGGCCAGAAGAGGGCACCAGACATCATTATAGGATGGTTGTGAGTCACCATGTGGTTGCTCAGAATTGAACTCAGGACCTCTGGAAGAGCAATCAGTGCTCTTAACCTCTGAGCCACCTCTCCAGGCCCCCCCTCCTTTTTTAAATCACTTTATTTTTTTATTTTACGTGCATTAGTGTTTTGCCATGGGAAGTTTCCCCTGAAACTAGAGTTACAGACAGTTGTCAGCTGCCATGTGGGTGCTGGGAGTTGAACCTAGGTCCTCTGGTAGAGCAGTCAGTGCTCTTAACTGCTGAGCCATCTCTCCAGCCCTATCTTTTCATGTTAATTTGTTTTAATGTTTTATCCTTTTTCATAGGTAAAATGTTCTTCCCTAAAATTAAGCATTTCATCTATGGCTTGTAGTTTCGTTTTTTTGAGACAAGGTTTCTCTGTGTAGTTTTGGAACCTGTCCTGAATCTCGCTCTGTAGACCAGGCTGGCCTCGAACTCACAGATTCACCTGCCTCTGCCTTCCAAGTTCTGGGATTAAAGGCGTGTAACACCACACGCAGCTCATCTGTAATTCTTAACGGCATAGCAGAGCTAGAGACACCTGTCCATGCAGCACTAAGAAGGAAGCCCTCCCTGCAGAGCAGCAGTCACGCTTGTGTGTTGTGCTTTAACGGCTGAGGCTCCATTTGTCTCTTTAGGAAAGCCTCCTCTCGAGCTATTTATGGCCTGTTTGCTTATACATTTATTTGTTTGTTTGTTTTCTCTTATATGTGTGAATGATCAGATTTCCCATTTTATGTCTTAGCAGCTTTATTTGTTTTACTTTTTTTGAGACAGGGTTTCTCTATGTAGCCCTGGGTGTCCTTGAACTCAGATCCACCTGCCTCTTGCTGGGATTAAAGGCATGTGCTGTTGTAGAATATTATTTTAACTAGGCAAAGGTGTGTTACATTTGTTTATGCTGCAGAATATTAATTCAACTGTGTAAAGGTGTGTTACTTTTGTTTTTGCTACATTTGTTTAGTTATGTAAAGATGTGCTGCATTTGTTTCACCTTGCCTGCCTAAGGTACCTGATTGGTCTAATAAAAAGCAGAATGGCCAGTAGAGGCAGGAAAAGGATAGACTGGCAGACAGAGAGAATAAATAGAGGAGAAATTTAGGCTCAGGAGAAAGAACGAGGAGGAGGAAGAGAACAAAGGAGACACCCCAGGCCAGACAGACAGACATAGAGAAGCAGTGAAAGTAAGATACACAGAAGTAAGGAAGGTAATAAGCCCAAGGCAAAAGGTAGATAAAGAGAAACAGGTTAAGTTAAAAGAGCTGACCACAGAAACATGCCTAAGCTAGGCCAAGCATTCAAAACTAATGAAGTCTGTGTCATGATTTGGGAGCTGGTTGGTGACCAGAATGAAAAAACCTGATACATTTTGGCACCCAATGTGGGGCTTGAACCAACAACCAATATTACGAGTCTCATGCTCAACCAGCTGTACTAGCCAGACATTCAGAACTGTTAATAAGAAGTCCCTGTGTCATGATTTGGGAGCTGGTTGACCAAAAAGAAAAAGCCTGGTACAATATACCACCACATCCTGGCTTCTTGGCAGCTTTTTTAGTATAGAATCTTACACTTAATGTATTGAACCCTATTTTGACATGTTTGGGTTTTTGAAAAAAAAAGTCTAGCCTACACTGCTCTGGAACTTGTTATGTAGCCCATCTGACCTTACATTTATGATCCTCTAAACGGAGTCTCCCAAATGCTGGGATTACAGATGTGAGCCACCATGGCTAGTTCTATTTCTCCTTTTTACAAAGCTGTCTTTATATTTACATAGTTGTATATTCTTTTTTTTCACTCTATAGTATTTGGTCACTAGTGAAAACAGTGTTGTATCTCAGGTCGGCCTCTAGGGAGTGCTGGTGCTTAGGTTGTCTTCCTCTCAGTGGTCACCATCATTCTGTCCTGAGAAGGTAAAGAGAGGCCAGACATGCATGGTGGTTCACACCTGCTGTTCCAGCCCTTGGGAGGTAGAGAAAGGAGGATGGGGAGTGCAAGTCCAGCCTCATCTACCTAGTGAAGTTGAAACCAGCCTAGGCTACATAAAGCTTTTTCTCAAAACAAAAACAACAAATATCTGTGAGAAGACTGTTACAGCATTAGCTTTGTTTATTAGACACAAAGAACAGACCACAGAATCTCAAGCCTGTAGGTATGAATTTTAATTTTTCATTGTCCTCTGTCTTTGCAGCAACTATAGTTTCTCAACAGATGGTTTCAGTGGTTCAGGAGGCAGTGGTGGCCACGGTTCATCGGTGGGCGTTCAGGGAGGTGTGGACTGGATGAGGAAGCTGGCCTTCCGCTATCGAAAAGTGAGAGAAATCTATGACAAGCATAAAAGCAATGTGGGTGGTAAGTGTGGACAGCCAGTCTGAACCTTTTTCTCAATGCTTTCCTGCATTCCTTTCCAAGAGTGCCTTAAATCCCCCTTGCAACTTCTTAGGAATTTATGCCGTGTTAATTCTGTATTAAAAAAAGCAAAACAAACAAACAGATATAATTGAAACCCTTTGGAGAATCTACACCACTGGTGGCCATTAGAATGGAAGATGATGGTGAAAGGCATGAAAGGTCAGAAAAAGACTCAGCAGTTGAGAGTGCTGGCTACTTCTGCAGAGAGCCCAGGTTCAGTCCCCAGCACCCACACAGTGGCTCTCAACTATCTGTAACTCCAGTTCCAATGGATTGATGCCCTCTTCTGACCTCTTCGGGCACCAGGTGTGCATGCTATACATATAGATACATGCAAACAAAGCATACAAATAAAATAAAAATCAATTTAAAAATTAAAATTTAAGCCGGGCAGTGGTGGTGCATGCCTTTAATCCCAGCACTCGGGAGGCAGAGCCAGGCGGATCTCTGTGAGTTCGAGGCCAGCCTGGGCTACCAAGTGAGTTCCAGGAAAGGCTCAAAGCTACACAGAGAAACCCTGTCTCATAAAAACCAAACAAACAAACAAACAAAAATTAAAATTTAAAGAATGGGAACTGATAGTTGAGGCTCTGTACCATTGATGGCTATTAGGATGGGGATTTCAGTAGAAGCACTGCATTCCTAATTCCTCCTAACGTGATGTTGGACCATTAGGCTATTTTTTTTTAAAGATTTTATTTATTTATTATGTATACATTGTTCTGCTTGCATGTATCCCTTCAGGCCAGAAGAGGGCACCAGATCTCATTGTAGATGGTTGTGAGCCACCATGTGGGTGCTGGGAATTGAACTCAGGACCTCTGGAAGAACAGCCAGTGCTCTTAACCTCTGAGCCATCTCTCCAGCCCCTATGCTATTTTCTTTAGACAAGTATCTGTTTGTAAAGAAAATGTGCTGCTAGTCAACATCATTGCTGTGACAGAACACCTGAAATGATGAGTTTAAGAGCAGGAAGGAGTTAGGATTTATTTGTTTTATTGGTCATTTGGCCCTGTTATCTTGGGCTTGTGGCAAATCAGAACATCGTGGCAGGGAGAGGCTGGCCACCTCACTGCAACAGAGAGAGGGGAAGGGGAAAGAGAGAAGAGGGGAGAAGGTAGCTTGGTTCCTAATATCCCATTAAAGCACCTGCAGTGGGGCCGGGCGGTGGTGGTGCACACCTTTAATCCCAGCACTGGGGAGGCAGAGCCAGGCGGATCTCTGTGAGTGCGAGGCCAGCCTAGTCGAGATCCAGGACAGGCACCAAAACTACAGGGAGAAACCCTGTCTTGAAAACAAACAAACAAAAAGCACTTGTAGTGAGGACAAGCCTTCATTACACTAGCTTTTGGGGAATAGGTAAAATCTAAACTGTAATATGTTCCACAGATTATTGGTTGGTTGACTGGTTGGTTGGTTGGTAGGGTGTTGAGACGGTCTTGTTATCTAGCCCAGCCTATCCTTGAACTTGCTCCCTAGTACTGGGATGCTAGACATGCCCTCACCATACCACCTCAATATATTACATTTGAAGCAGTGTTTTTTATTTTTGAGTTACAAATACTAATTAATTGACTAGTTAATTGGTACTAATTAATAGACTGCCATAGTTTGAATAGCAGATATCTGTACCCATCATGGCAAGTCAAACAGTTACTGCACTGGCTGGGACATAGGCCTGGGATTATAGAGGCAGTGTCCGGGCACTGTCATGTGAAAGGCCTTGGAAATTTTACCTGCCCAGAAATGTTGTAGGTGGTAGTGTGCCTAAAATTCTGTTATTCAGAACTAATTAGTCATGGATTGTTCAAAATAGAAGAGACATTCGAAATCTACTCTAAATACCTCATTTGGCAGTTGAGAAACACCCATCATAGGGTCTAGCATAGCATAACACAGTCACATGGCAAGGTAGTAGGCTGGCCCTATTCCCTGACTTTAGGTCAGTGCATTTTCCAATCTTGTAGTTCCTTTACTAGTGATGTGCGCTTATAAGAAAATTATTTACAACTATGAGCCATCACTCTCAAAAAAGACTGCACACAGTGCTGCATGAAGTTTAGTCCTTGAGTAGATTACCCAGGAAGGGGCTCTGCCATGTCACCCAGTCTGTGACTGAAAGCAGAGACAGGACTTTGAAGTTCAGTTGGGTTGTCTTGTGACAGCCCTGATAGTAAATAAAATCTTGGGCTTCTAGATCTCAGAAATCAAATTTCTTTTTTCAGAACCTCCCCCTCCTGTTGTTATTTTTTATTCTTTTGGGGGGCCTGCCATCCAAATAAATCACACACAGAGGCTTATTCTTAATTATAAATGCCTGGCCTTAGCTTGGCTTGTTTCTAGCCAGCTTTTCTTAAATTACCCCGGTTACCTTTTGCCTCTGGGCTTTTTCCTTTTCTTCTGTAATCTTACTTTCACTATTATTCTGTAGCTGGCTGGGTGGACAGCCCCTGATGTCTTCCTCCTTCTGGCTGTGCTACGCCTCCCAGATTTCTCTTACTTATCCTCTCTGCCTCCCAGCCCCGCCTATCCTTTCTCCTGCCTCCCTATTGGCTGTTCATCTCTTTATTGGACCATCAGGTGTGTTAGACAGCTTCACAGAGTTAAACAAATGTAACATAAACAAAGTAACATACCTTAAAACAATATTCTACCACACCCTCCCCTAAGCCTGAATCTCTAATCCTTTCCTGCCTACTGACTAGACCTCATTTCCTGGAGAAAATGATACAGCACACCATGGGTCTCCTGAGCCTAATTGGGAGAACATATAAAAAGTGCTACCAGCCAGACATGTGGCACATACATTTAATGCCAGCACTAGGGAGGCTGAGGCAGGTGGATCTCTGAGTTCAAGGCCCACCTGCCTGGTCTACATAGTAAGTTCCAGGACAGCCAGGGTTACATACACTAAGACTGCCTTTAAAAAAAAAAAAAAGTAACACCTCCCTGTAATGCAGAACTTTTTATAATTCCAAGTCACCCTTGTTCTTTGAATATTGTAATTCAGAGTGTCTGACAGTGGGCTTCTGTATGAGACCTGCTACGTTTTATGCCCAGTTAATCTAGTCTCCGAGAGCAGTATATAGTATGCTGTCGGCTGGAGTGGTTTCAGAAGGAAAAGGTGCAGGGATTGGTCCTTCCCCTGGAATCCTGACTGGCAGGTTCCTGTGCGGTGGAAGCAGAGCTTGTACCAGAACCTCACTGTGATGTTTATGTCAGCTGACCTTGTTGTGGTGTGCCCATAGGAGAGAAAAGATTTTGGTGAGGAGTCACATTTGAGTAGCACCATTCTTAAAGTTTTTAAAACATGAGAACGTATAATCTTGGGCTCATGGGAGTTGCTGCTTCTATGAATAGCAAGTCTACTGGCTACTCTTCTCCAGCACAGCACCTGACAAACAGCTTAGAAGGAAGGGTTGGTGTCACAGTTCCAGAAGTTCCAGTGGCAGGAGGAGAGGGCAGCTGGTCACATCGAGTCCACAGCCAGGAAACAGCCAAGAGGACTTGTGCTCAGCTGCTTTCTCCTTTGTATTCAGTCCAGGACCCCAGCCCACCTCAGTAACCTGATTTGATGCTCCCTCACAGACCTGACCAGAGATTGGTTTCCACGGTGATTCCAAACCCCATCATGCTGTCTATCAAATTGCCCCTCATGGCAAGTTTCTGTTGTCAGATTACAGTGTGTCTGCTTTTCTCCCAAGGCCTCCTCAGCCCCCAGAGGAAGGAAGCCCTGCAGAGACTGCGAGCCGAGATCGAGGTGCTCACGGACTCCTGGTTAGGAACTGCACTCAAGTCCCTGCTCCTCATCCAGTCTCGGTAAGGAGGTGTTTCCTCTATGGCTCATCCTCGCCAAGACACTGCTTCCTAGCCCTAGTCCAAGATAGGCCATCCTTAAATGGAGTTTAGGAACCAGGAATTAGAAGGCTCAAATGCGCTGGCAATGGTGGTGCACTCCTTTAATCCCAGCATGTAGGAGGCAGAGGCTCTGAGTTCGGGGCCAGTCTGGTCTATAAGAGTGAGTTCCAGGGTAGGCAACACAGAGAAACCCTGTCTTGGAAAAGGGGGGGAAAAAAAGCAGGATTTAAATGTAAAGGATCTCTAGACAAGCATAGTGATACACACCTTGGTCCCAGGTCTTGAGAGATGTAGGGAGGAGGATCAGCAGTTCAGGGCCATCCTTAGCTATATAGTTTGAGGGCAGTCTGGGCTTCATGAGACTGTCTCCAAAAAGGAAAAGGGGAGAAACAATGACTGTGTTAAGATGAAGGGAGCTGGGTGATGGTTGTGGCAGCACACACCTGTAATTCCAGCACTCCAGGCAGAGGCAGGTGAATATTTGAGTTCAAGGCCAGCCTGGTCTACAGAATGAGTTCCACAATAGCCAGGGCTACACAGAGAAACCCTGTCTTGAAAAAAAGAAAAAAACCAAAAAAGACTAAGAGAGCCAGAAAGAGGTCAGTATGTGCTTGCTACCAAGCCTAACGGTGTTAGTTCTGTATACACAATAAATGTCACTTTAAAAAGATGAAGATGAGCCGGGCGGTGGTGGCGCACACCTTTGATCCCAGCACTGGGGAGGCAGAGCCAGGCGGATCTCTCTGAGTTCAAGGCTGGCCTGGTCTGCAGAGCGAGATTCAGGCACCAAAACCTACAGAGAAACCCTGTCTCGAAAAACCGGAAAAAAAAAAAAAAAAAAAAGATGAAGATGATTCAGGGAATTTTGCCTTGAAGGCTAGAGTGCAGCTGTAGCATGTACCATCACCCTGCTGCTCTCTCTCCCTCATGTCTATAACATGTGGAACAACAACAAAAACCACCTCAAACTGAGGATAGAAACCAGTGGAGGTAAGGGACCTAGTGAATTTTTGTGATATCTGGAATCCGAGGGGCTGTTGTGTGATGAGCAAAGAGAATTTAAATCATGTCTCACGAGAGTGGCATTTCCATTAAATAGAATGACAAATAAAAGCTCTCACTGTGCATTTGTCTTCTAAAATGTGGTACCCATAACAGGAAGACTTAGTGAGAATAGCTAACAAGTTGCAGTGAGAAACAGTGGCCAGGGCTGGGGAGTTGAGAATGGAGTCTCAGTGGTTGAGAGCACTCACTGCTCCAGGAGAGGACCCAGGTTCAATTCCCAGCACCCACATGTGTATGAATAGCCATCTCACTGGTCCCTTGGCCCTTTAGTATAGAAAATAAAATCCGAATCAGAGTAATAATTGAGCTGGGCGTGGTGGCGCAGCAGGCAGGGGGCAGAGGCAGGCAGACCTCTGAGTTCAGGCCAGCCAGAAAGAAAGAAGAAGAAAGAGGAGTGCTCTACCGCTGACACTGAAAGAGGAGTGCTCCACCGCTGACACTGAAAGAGGAGTGCTCCACCGCTGACACTGAAAGAGGAGTGCTCTACCGTTGACACTGAAAGAGGAGGAGTGCTCTACCGTTGACACTGAAAGAGGAGGAGTGCTCTACCGTTGACACTGAAAGAGGAGTGCTCTACCGTTGACACTGAAAGAGGAGGAGTGCTCCACCGCTGACACTGAAAGAGGAGTGCTCCACCGCTGACACTGAAAGAGGAGTACTCTACCGCTGACACTGAAAGAGGAGTGCTCCACCGCTGACACTGAAAGAGGAGTGCTCTACCGCTGACACTGAAAGAGGAGTGCTCCACCGCTGACACTGAAAGAGGAGTGCTCTACCGTTGACACTGAAAGAGGAGTGCTCTACCGTTGACACTGAAAGAGGAGTGCTCCACCGCTGACACTGAAAGAGGAGTGCTCTACCGTTGACACTGAAAGAGGAGTGCTCTACCGCTGACACTGAAAGAGGAGTGCTCTACCGCTGACACTGAAAGAGGAGTGCTCTACCGCTGACACTGAAAGAGGAGTGCTCCACCGCTGACACTGAAAGAGGAGTGCTCTACCGCTGACACTGAAAGAGGAGTGCTCCACCGCTGACACTGAAAGAGGAGTGCTCTACCGTTGACACTGAAAGAGGAGGAGTGCTCCACCGCTGACACTGAAAGAGGAGTGCTCTACCGCTGACACTGAAAGAGGAGTGCTCCACCGCTGACACTGAAAGAGGAGTGCTCTACCACTGACACTGAAAGAGGAGTGCTCTACCGTTGACACTGAAAGAGGAGTGCTCTACCGTTGACATTGGTCAGGCGCGTCCAGCTGTGAGGTTTCGGGTCAGATCCTGAGGAGCTGACCCATTTGAATTCTTATGCCTAGGTTGTCTCAGTTTCACCACTTTCTTCTTCTTACTCCTTCTAGAAAGAATTGTGTGAATGTTCTGATCACTACCACACAGCTGGTTCCGGCCCTGGCCAAAGTTCTCCTATACGGACTAGGAGAAATATTTCCTATTGAGAACATCTACAGTGCTACCAAAATCGGTACGTTGTTCTCCCCGGGCCTCTGGGGACACTGTCCCCACGGCTTGTGTCACTGCCTGCTCTGCTGCACAGTTCAGTGTGTTCACCATCCAGTGTATGTGCGTGCAATCTCCTGCTAAGACCGTTGAGGCTTAGCAGTTACCGGGTTTGCTCAAGAAGTCAGAACTAGTAAGCTCCTTTCTCCTGCAATATTCATTCATTCATTCATTCATTCATTCACTCACTTATTCTGGCAGAAAAATCTGTTACTGAGACCAGCTGCCTGGCTAGGTTACAATATGCCATCAAGTCTGATGGCCTGGGCTCCATCCTCAGGACCAGATGGTAGAAGGAGAGAATCAGCTGCACAGGTTGTCCTGTGATCTCCACCCTCGTACCATGGAACATAGATGTACACATCCACACGAGATAATAAATAATAAAAACATGTTAGCTGGAGAGATGGCTCAGCAGTTAAGAGCACTTGTGCTTACAAAGGGCCTGAGTTCAGTTTCCGGAACCCACATGGTGGCTCACAACCACTCATAACTCCTGTTCTAGGGGATCTGATGCCCTGTTCTGGTCTCTGAGGGCAGCAGGTACACACATGGTACACATGCATGCAGGCAAAATACACATAAAATGAATAAACCTGCTGGCCTGTTTGACCTAGGTGAGTCACTAACCCTATGATGGTCCATCATCTGTGAAGTGAGGAAGGAGAGTTACATGAAAGAGCTCTGAAGTGTGGGAAACACAAGAACAGAGTGGTGGAGGTGGTCACAGCTGTTCTGCCCAAGCTCGGGGTCCTCTCTCTTGACACACTCCTTTGTGCTAAGGTTTTGGGAGCCTGCCCTTTAATGTGAAGGCTAAAGTGAGTTGTTTAGTAATGGCATGCTTTCTCGTTCTTTGGGAAACAGGGCTCTGCTCCTAACTCCTAACCGAGTAGTCTGCACAGGCTGCCAGGGAGGCAGATGAACGGAGCAGCAGTCCTTATCTTTGGTATTGAAAAGGGTAGAGAAGACTGTTCTAATAGGAAGTGTGGTTTTCTTTATAGGTAAGGAGAGCTGCTTTGAGAGAATTGTGTCAAGGTTTGGAAAGAAAGTCACGTATGTAGTGATTGGAGATGGACGAGATGAAGAAATTGCAGCCAAGCAGGTAACTGTAGAAAGGAAAAAAAAAGTCAGTTCTGTGGTTGTGCACGAAGCAATTAGAAAGACTGTACAGTAGAGCCTGTACAGTGGACACATCTGTAATCTCTACATCCGGAGGCTGGAAGAGGATAATGGACTCCGTGGGGTGGGGTAAAGGAGGGATGAAGGCTGAGGATGTACCTAACTTGGCAGGGTGCTGTCTGGCCACATGAAACCCAGGTTCAATCCTCAGCACTGTATAACCAGGATAGAGCCTGCCTGCACTTGGGAAGTACAGGCAGGAGGGTGAAAGGACACCCTTGGCTACATAGTGAGGTCACAGGATGCATGAGACTGTCAGAAAAGGGCCTGGGGAGAAAAGTGGTCCAAGTGAAAAGACTTTACAACTGTTGGGTGTTTGTGGTGTGTATCTCCCTTCCTCACTCTTCTTTAAGAAAAGATCATTGTTTTCCCCAGGTGGAAAATGTGTTAGATCCTCCTCTGTCCTTTCTTCCCTGCCACTCAGCAGTCTTAGAACCAGGCCTGGGGATGTAGTTCAGTGGGATATGCTTGCTTACATGCACTAGGAAGCCCTGGGTTCAGTCCCCAGCACCACATAAAACTAGATATAATGGTACACATCTGTGATTCCAGTACTCAGGAAGTGGGGGCAGAGGGATCAGAAGCTCAAGGTCATCCCTATGCTACATGGCAAGTTCAGGGTGCCCCTTATTAACCCTGCAGTGGGCCTCATCTTCATCTGAGATTCTGAGGACATCAGACTGATTGCAAAAGGCAAACTGTTCTGAACTTCCCAGTCTTTGGGGCTGTCTTTAAAAGTAAGGAGGGCCGGGCGGTGGTGGCGCACGCCTTTAATCCCAGCACTCGGGAGGCAGAGTCAGGCGGATCTCTGTGAGTTCGAGGCCAGCCTGGGCTACCAAGTGAGTTCCAGGAAAGGCGCAAAGCTACACAGAGAAACCCTGTCTCGAAAAACCAAAAAAAAAAAATAAATAAATAAAAGTAAGGAGGAACCAACCAAGTACACTCAGTCGGGGGTTGTATTGTAGAGAAAGGCTTTGTGGTTTTGAAAGCCCTGCAGGTTGGTTTGCATAGTTCCCTGTCACTGTGTAGGCCCCAGCCCTGGGCCATCCTTCCTTCATACAGGAAACAGTAGATGAGTTTGGGCTATGGAACCTAAAGTCAGGTAGATTAAGCCAAGTGTGGTTGTGTGCACCCACAGTGCTGGCTACTTGGGTGGAGAGGAGAGATGGATTGAGCCCAGGAGTTAGGGTCAGCTTCACCTACATAAAAAGGCCGTCTCTCAAAGTCGAGTGAAGTGCACTATTAGCTGGGCGGCAGTGTGTTTACCCTCTCGGAATCTGTTTGTCTGCTGTGTGGGTATATGAAAGTGCTCTCCTTGGCCTGGCTCTTTTGTTTTGGGATCTAGAGCCATGGCTTACAACTAGGGCTGCCCTGGTTTTCTTCATCCAGTTCATACAAACCACAGCAGCTACTAGTGAACTATATGATTGACAATCAATTGGCATCATTACTTCATGTTTTCATCTGCCACTTGATAGAGCAATTCATAGAGCTTGATAGAGCTTTTCCGTGTTAATCATCGAAGCTTTTGATTCTCCAGTTCTGCTCAGTCTCCCTTTGGAGAAGACATCAGTGCCTTCTCAGTCTGGTGAAGGGGTAGGGAAGAGAGAGAAGAGCTGAGCACTCTCAGAGTTCACCCCTAAGCTAAGGTCTGCAGTCTACTAGGAAGTATAGTCTCCAGGGGTCCAGGGCGTGTGTAAGTCATGTGTAGTAGCCAGTCATCAGCATGAGAAAAACACTCATTAAAAACATCTACATGCTTTATGCACCTTACCTACTTTCTGTCAGGCATCTTTCTGCCAGCCTTTCTGGAAGAAAACTAGTCCTTGCATGAATGTGCCCAGAGGATGAGGGAACTGATTCCCAACAGCCTACCCATGGGCCATCCAAGCTGTCAGTGTCCTTCCTTCCATGACAAAATGCCATGATCTGAGGCCGGGCGGTGGTGGCGCACGCCTTTAATCCCAGCACTCGGGAGGCAGAGCCAGGCGGATCTCTGTGAGTTCGAGGCCAGCCTGGACTACCAAGTGAGTTCCAGGAAAGGCGCAAAGCTACACAGAGAAACCCTGTCTCGAAAAACCAAAAAAAAAAAAAAAAAATGCCATGATCTGGCACTGCTGTCCTCTTCCTCTGCTGTCTGCTAACAACTTTACAGTTGAGCCCAACAAAGGTAGCTGACTGTGGGCCAGAACTGTTGTAGAATCTCAGCATTCTGAATCACCCGGTCAGTGAAAGAGATCGCATCCACTTCACACAACATGGCTTCCAGACTAGCACATGGTCTTCTTGGTGCAGCTCTGGTGATGTGACATCTGTACACTGCATCGTGGACATAGTATTTGAGTGAAGACTTACAGGAAACTGACCATCCACAAGGCAGGAAAACTTACCTTAGTACGAGCTTCCTTCCCACCTGTCAGTTGTAACAGGACTTCCTGTGTTGCTCAGACTGGCCTTCATCTTGTAATCCTCCTGCCTCAGCCTCCCAAGTGCTGGGATCACAGGCATTCACCACTACATTCAGAAATACTAATTTCTTATCGCCATTTTATTTGATCCTGAAAACCTTAAAAGCTGAGACAGGTATTTGGTAGCATTGAAATCTCATAAAAATTCCTCACATACAATCTATGTCTCGTACTGTACAAAGTTCTGACACATGGACAGATGGTTACCAAGAGCCTCGAGACACCTGTGGAGGAGAGGGTGCGAGTTAGGTCCCAGAAGCTGGGCTAACTAGCCTTCCTTCTTCTCTTCCAGCACAACATGCCCTTCTGGAGGATCACAAACCATGGAGACCTGGTGTCCCTGCACCAAGCTTTAGAGCTTGACTTCCTCTAAGAACTGGAACGTGGAGCTTTCCTTCCTTGTGAGCTTCTTTTTACCTCCGACAGGAGTCAGAGGCCAGAACCCTCTGAGACCCTTCTCTGTATGTCTGTCTGTCTGTCTCTCTGTGTCTCAGCGCCCCCTCCCCTTCTCCTGTGCTCTTTCTCTCTCTCCGTGGAATGCTGGCGAGAACACAATCAGTTTTTGCTAAGAGTGAGCGAAGCCCCGTCCATAGTACAGCAGGAGGCGGCTGGAAAGAACAGCAGACTTCCCCCGCTACCGTGCTTGAATTCTTCCTTTCAAAAAGGAAGATCGAGAAGAGGCAACGCGTGGGGCACAGTTGCACTCTTGGTGCATGGACAGACCGGGAGCTGCTCATGCTGACGGAAAATGCGTTTGTCCCATGAGAACATCTCCTGTAATCTTAGCTGTAGAACTCTCTCCCAGTGAATGGGTATGTTATTTTTGTAGGTGAGGGTCTGGTCTCTGAAGCACCCCTCCTTTTTTATGAAGAAAGCGGTGTGTAAAGTTTCTGTGACAGTAGTAATGGAAATATCTGAAATACCTCTCTGTGACAGCAGCACCTCTTTAGTGGCCCCAGCACTCTGCTCTCCCAGGAGGCCCCTTGCTGTTTCAGGGCCCTGGTCACTTACTAACTTAGGCGTCTCCCATCTTGTAAGCCTCAGTCTCCTTGCCAGTCCTTCTTCCTCTGTAACCAGAAGTCACAACCCTGGAACCTTCTTCCCACAGACAATACATCTAAGCCTTTAGCTTATAATTTAGAGGCTCTGTCCCAGGAGGCTCAGCCTCCAAGTTGGAGAGAAGGGACTCGGGCTTCTTAGGAATTTTATCCTTGGCTCCTGAGGTAAGATTCTACCTAGTGCTCCTCCAGAGCAGCACCTGTTCTCAGCAGATGCTCGCTCTGCTCCGTGGCCAGCTCAGTCATCGGGTGCTGGCTTCACACTCCCTGCCCTCTGTTTCTCAAATCCACCTCTCTCTGTGCAGCTCTGGCCAGCCCCTGCCCACTCAATTCAAGTCAGAAAGTCCTAAAAGCTAAAAAGTCTGCTTCCTTTGCCTGCACTTACATGCAGTTATATCTCAACTTGTATTTACCCAGATCTATGCCTGGGAGTGGAAAGCAGATAGCTATAATCAAAACCCAATTTCCCAGCTGAAGTGGGAAACCAGGCCAGAACGACTCTCTTGACTTAAATGCCTGAAAATATAATCCTGAGCTAGGTGCAAGAGCACCTCTCAGCCTGCCCCCTAGATGGCTTGGATGGGAACCTGGGCCTAGTCCCAGCCTTCAAGCCCAGCTGGTTTTTGTATTTTTGTTTTGTTTTGCTTAAAGGCACTATCCCTTGAGGACCAATGTGGGTACCTGCTTAATTGGGGTAAACTTTCCTAGAGTTGAGGAAATGTACAGCCTTGGTCCTCAAGAGGTCCTTGACCAACCCCTGGCTACAGTCACTGTCCCCAGAGATGCTGTAGCACAGAGCCAGGCTCCTCTTAATGCCAGGCTACTGGACAGCAACAGAAGAGCCGGCATACCATCTTCAGAACTGTTAGCAATGCTCCTGAGACCAGCAGTTGAGGAAGGGGCTCAGACAGGAGGTGGGGTTGGTGCTCCATCTTGGCCACTCATTTGGCTTGTTTTGAGATAGGAGGTGGGAACAAAGTTGGAGTCTAAGCCAGTCTTCCCTAGGCTACATTCACACTATCCCAACACTACCCAGCCTTGTTTCATGGTCTGTCCCAGAAAACTAAAGGGTAAGTTTTTACTTTCAAACCTCAAACCTTTCCCTCATTGCCAGTGTAGTTTCCTGTCCTACTGCCTGCTCCAGAACTTAGGTGTCAGAGCTAGTATCCCAAGAGACTTGGCCAGCTTGTCTGCGGTTCACACAACAGGGGCCACCTATTGGTCTTCAGGCTTTTAAGACTGCCAAGTGGTAGCACACACCTCTCTGCACACAGGTAACACCACAAACACTTCAGGGGAAGACTCTTTATTCTTAGAATGTAACCTGGAATCCTTTTCCTCTTGCCCTGCCTGCCCAATTTAGCTCTTTACAACAGGATTTTGGACTTGGCTAAGAGAGGCAAGGAGATATTCTGAGCTGAAGAGCCTCTGCTCTGGCAGAAGCCACCCTGTCAGAGGGCAGACAGGAAGCAAGAGTGTGTTGGTGTGTCCACCAAAAGGAGCATCCAGGGACTGCTGCCCTTTGTCCCACAAAGGCCTGGGAAGGAAAATGAACTGGCAGCAGTACGAGAAAGATGGCTCCTTGGTTACTAGCATCGGCTGTTGATGCAGAGTTCCAGGGTGTGAGCACCCACAGGGCTGCTCACAACCATCTGTAACTATGGTTCCAGAGGATCTGATCCCCTCTTCTGGCCTCTTCAGGCACCAAGCACTTATATACACGCAAGAAAAAAACTCATAACCTAAAATAAAATGTCTTTAAGAAATTAAAAGCTGTTGGAATTGGACCTGAAAGAAACTGGGTCCTTTCATCAAAAGAGGCAGTCTTTACTGGAAAGAGCACCCTGAAGTGATTAGCTGGTAAATCCTTTCCCTGATGGATCCAGTGTTTTCAAGGGTTAGTCTGGACATCTCATGGTGTGGGCTAATTCTAGGAGTGTCTGTGGAGTTGCAGGAATGTTCCGGGATAAGAGGTGACTTTCGAATGTAAAACTGACTGTGCCTTAGCATCACCATGTCCAGTGCCCTTGGGGCAGCTGGTGATGTCCAGGAGAGTGGATACCTGCTCCAGAACTTAGGTGCCTGTTTGGGCTGTTGATTTGGGGGTGGTCTGCCTTCTCTACAAGTTGGGTGTCAGAGCTAGTATCCCAAGAGACTTGGCACAGCTTGTCTGCGGTTCACACAAACTCAACCCTTACAGCTCCAAGTAGACTCTAACTGGCATACTGCAGCTTGCAAGCATGTGGCACTTCTAGACACTACTTTGAATGGGAGTCACACATTGACAAGAGCACCAGGCAAAGCATGGTGCTGTCCTCCTGGAGAGTACAGGCTAGCCCCTCAGAGGCAAGCTTGGGCTCTCCTTCCTTATTCCTCCCCAGGGTGCAGCTGAGACCCTTCTTGAGTAAGCTTATGTTCCTTGCTGCTAACCTGGTCTCCATCTTAAAGAAGCTACAACTATCCAGACAGATTCATTGTAGATGCCAAGTTGGAATTCTGAGCTCAGATACCTTAACTACAAGAGGCAAAAATCTGCTTGTGTCCCAGCCCTGTCCGCAGGCCACCCGTCCCCCCTCTCCCCCGAGTCAGCTCTAGCAGGCAAGGCTCCCTGGATGCCTCCTAGCACACTGAGCGGAGCTATCCACTAAGGACCATTTCTACTTGGATCACCACTCTCCCTCTGGACTTCAGATGCCCTCTTTAGCAGGAAAAGGCATCAGTTGGGTTGGATGTATTTATGTGACTGCGGGCATTTGTGGCTATAGAGTCCTTGACCATAATGTTATACGTAATGGGAACTATCTTATAAACTTGAAAAAAATAAAATTTTTATTTTCTATACAGTATTCTCATTTGTCTTTTCTAAATAGGGTTAGTCCAGTTGCTAAGCCGTGCAGGGTCCTAATCAGGGCTTCATTAAGAAAGATGTCACCCTTTCAATAACTGGGTCATTAATTTCACACATACAAAAAGTTGGAAAACAAGGAATTGTTTTTATTTAAATTGTTTTTAGAATGCACTGCTTATTAAGGTGTAGAAATGGAGTAGATTTCATGAACTGTCAAATGTACTGAACTGTGCTAAAGACAAGTCAGTCTGTGCTAAGCATAAGCTGCAAACCAATAAAACTAACATGAACCTTTAGATTTCATGTCACACAAGCCAGTTTTTCTCCATTCCTTCACATTGGTCTGAGTGGCTTTTACTGACCTGAAGAACAACCAGTGAAGGAAATTAGAATTTGTTTGTTTCTGAGGGTCAGAAATGTCAGACTAATTTCCTCCAGGAAGTGTGAAGTCATCTCATACCCTGGTTAGTAGTCTTTCAAGCCACAGTACTGCTGAAGCCGACTGTTAGCTGTTGTCTGCATCCTGCTTGTTACAAGCACAAGTTCCAAGTGTTGACTGCCTTCCAAATCCCAAGAGCAAGCATCTCCATCTCCTCTTAACAAAAGATTTCTCCTACAAACCCTTCCCTAACATGTCTTTTTCATTTTTCTTTTTCTTTTTTTTTTTTTTCAAGACAAAGTTTCTTTGTGTAGCCCTGGTTGTCCTAGGACATGTAAATCTTAAAGTGGTTTGTTTTTCTAAAACAAGTTTCTTCATGTTTAAAAGTTCTTGGTCAGGAGCTGGAGAGATGGGCCAGCAGTTAAGAGCACTGGCTACTCTTCCAGAGGACCCAGGTTTAATTCCAAGCACCCACATGGCAGCTCAGAACTGCCTGTAACTCCATTTTCAGGGGATCTGACACAGGGTATCTGTCCCACAGACATGTGCGGGCAAAATACTAATGCACATGAGATAAAAATAATTTTTTTTTTAAGTTATTGGTCAGGTATGATGTTCCTGTCTTTAAACCTCAGAAGCTGAGGCAAGATTGTCAAGACTTTGGCAAGCCTAAGCTACATGTGGAACCTTGTCTCAAATGACCAAAAACAAAACAAAATATAGATATATTGATATATATGTCAATGGGAATCTTCAAGGACATTTTCTAATTACAGGTAATATCACTAATCTCTAAACTTGGAAAACAACTTTGTATGGTAGTACACACCAGTAACTGGGAAGTTGAAGCAGGAAGATAATGTGTTCAAGATTATCTCGAATAGGATAGACAGACTGTTAAAAACAAGGCTAATTGTAGTAACATGTATTTCTTTTTAAAATTTTTTAAAAGCCGGGTGGTGGTGGTGCACACCTTTAATCCCAGCACTCGGGAGGCAAAGCCAGGTGCATCTCTGTGAGTTCGAGGCCAGCCTGGTCTACAGAGTGATCCAGGACAGGCACCAAAACTACACAGAGAAACCCTATCTCAAAAAACCAAAAAAAAAAAAAAAATTGTTTTTGTGCCTGTATATGCATGTGCAAAGGCCAAAGGAGAATGCTGGATCCCCTGGAGCCAGAGTTACAGGCAGTTGTGAACTACCCAGAGTGAGTTCTGGGAACCAATCCTCCAGAAGAGCTGGGAGAGCTCTTAACTGCTGAGCCGTATCTCCAGCCCCAGCCCTGACGTGTGTTTAGTTCAAGTACTTGATAGATGGAGGCAGGAGGATCAGGAGTCCAACCTTGGCTGTATGATGTGTTCCAAGGTAGCTTAGCTCTCTAAGCCCTGTTTCAAAAACACTAAGTGTACATCACTGTATATTAGGTAGAACATGTAACTTTATATAGCACATGATTATGTATTTTAGGTAGTATAACACACCGTTTGGATTTAATACACATAATCATTTGACAACTTCATCTGGAATACAGGTGAAAACTCAGCCAAAATTAAAATTCTAAACACATCTGGTTTTGCTTTGTTTGAGACACAGAGTCTCATGTAGTCCAAGCCGGCCTCTGTCACTGAGGAGGAGTTTGAACTCGTGATAGTCTTGCTCAGAATGGTAGGTGCTCCACACTGGCCCAGCCCTCTACAGATCTTACCCGTTGTGTAAATGAGGATAACAGTGATTTCAGGTGTGTACCCCTAGAAGCGTGCCTTTATAAAATGGCCCCTTCTGATGTAATCACATCTAGTCTTCATGAGATGGTGGAGATTGCTTTGCATGCTCTTTTAACAACAATTACTGGTCTATGAAATTCAAGTCTGGAGAATTAGGTCTTTTCTGTCCATTTTCAGTATGAGAAGCGCCACCTTCTCCCAGAGCCTCTTGCTCGACCCCCGCCTGCATCTCTATAGCCTGGTTAGCTGTGGGCCAACAGCACTCCACAGTCCTCTCCTGGTGGGACTGTCCCACAGGACCAGCACTTGCAGAGATTCCTCTCCACCAACATACCACATGACTCTAGACTCTGCTTCTCGGGGGGCTTCAGGCTGCAGACACTGCCAAAGTAGCTCTTTCCGCACCTCCAGTGCCTCAGTTTCCCAGAGAGGCCTTCTCTAACAGTTGTGTGTAAAGCTATAACTTGCCCACAACACACACCCTCTCACCTCTCTTGCCTGGTTCTTTCAGCACTATGACACTACATATTTTGGTCACACTGTTTATTTTACCTCTACACCAATAAGTGACTGGTAGAACTATCTTAGGTCCCAGCACTGGGAACTAGAACCTTTTCTTCTACTTTAAAAAGTAGCACCTCTGGCACCTTTTTCCTGTTTCCTGTTTCACCAGACCACAGACTTCCCAGAGCAGAACGCTCCCTCTCCCCAGAACCATCACTCACATCCATATCCCAGGAATCACCTCTTACCTATGGAGGACTCCCAGTACTTTACCTTCCACCCAGCCTCTCAAGCTCACCTTCTAGTCCTAAAGATGCTACTCTGCAGGCCCAGAGGCAGAGCTGCTAAGACAATACACTAGAGTCTGCCCAGATGTGAGTTCTGCTGCCTGCCAAATGAGCAACGCACTCTGGCTCACCAGCTAATGCATCTTGGAAAGCAAAATGGGATATTTTGTACACTGTGTGATGATATATTGCTGTGATTGGTTTAATAAAGAGCTGAATGGCCAACAGCTAGGCAGGAGTTTAGGTGGGACTTCTGGGCAGAGAGAGAGGAAATAGATGAGTCTAGGCGCCTGAGACGCCAACAAGACACAGAGTGAGTCAGACATACAGAATGAAAGAAAAGTAAAAAGCCACAAGGCAAAACATAGATTAATATAAATGGGTTAATTTAAATTATAAGAGCTAGTGGGACAAACCCAAGCTTTCACAATTAGTAAGTCTCTGTCGTTATTTTGTGGCTAGCTGGTGGGACAGAGAAAGGCTAGCTACATTTGCTGCCCAACATGGGGCTCGAACCCATGACCGTGGGATTAAGAGTCACATGCTCTACCAACTGAAAGGGGAAATGTTGCAGGAGAATTGTTGGTATAGCCATTGCACTGTGTCAATAAAGCCACCTTGATTCAAAGGATGAAGTCAGTACTTGGCTGTTCGGGATTAGCCATAGAGTTCTTGAAGGACTCATGAGGTCTGTTAGAGAGGACAGGAAGAAAGAAGAGAGGATTTCTGGGCAGGTAATTTGGGAAAAACATGGAGAAAAGGTCAGCCAATTGATTCTCCAATGTCCTTGGATTTACTAGGTCTTTATCTTAATTTCTGATTGCTGAGTTTTTATTATACTGGAACAATTTAGATATTCATTACAAAGTCATACCTAAGTCCGCCCACATCTCTATTCCAGGGGTCTGAACCAGTTTTACAGGTTCCAGGTCCCTGCCACCTGTCTATAATAGAAAGGGTGATGGACTATACTTAATGGTACATACTGGTTTGGAGAATTTCATGTGGTTTTAATAATACTGTTAAACACATGCACACATGTTTTCTTCCTTTCACAGATTGAGGTAGGAGGTATGTATACTAGCTAGAATGAAAAATACTCAATGGATAGTACATGGCCTAGACCACAGGTCCATAAGGCACTTGGTTTTAAGGTGGCCTAAGACCCACAGTAGAGACAGCTGCATCTCGACCCTGGAGGGGCTGAGGGTCACCACTGGCCTCTGGTCTTTGAAATCAGATTTGTCCAGTGGGTTATCGAGAGGAGCTTGGGCTGCCGCCAATTCAACAGTTAGAATGATGCTCCCAGAACTTCAAGCGCTCTCAGGATTTGTTGATTGAAGCGAATGGATAGGGTGGGGTAGGGAAGACATGGAGAACATCTCCCAGCACCCCAGGGCCTTCTAGAGCAGGCCAGAGAACCCAGGAGACGGGCCACCTCCACCAGTTACCTGAGAAGTGAGAATAGCAACAAGAGGCTTTGGTGATGGCAGCTCTGTTGGTTGGACAGGAAGAGAATGGCTTGTGTGTGATTGGCCTTTGGCCCTTCCAAGGCCCAGCTCCCCACATCTTCCTCACTGGCTGAATCAGAACCTGCCTCAAAGGACTTCTTCCCCATCTCCAATCCCTGGCAGAGAAACCTCTGCTTTGACCTTGGGGAAGAAGTTGCGTGCTAACTGAGTGGCGCGCCTGTTATAAAGCGGCTTAGGCCGTTTTGAAGGAAGGAGACTTCCGACCCCATCCACTTGGTCGGGTTCCCAGTGGCAGTGAGGGTGCAACCAGAGGTAGTAGATCACACGCAAAGTCAGTCCCAGGAGGAAGCAGACTCCTCCCATAATCAACCACACCTGCAAGGTCCCACTGGGCAGCCAGGTGCCGCATGTCACCCAGGTGCTGGCCAGCAGCACACTGTCACTGAGGATGAAGACCAGGTGGATGATAGACCGGCCTCGGGTGCGGCCCCCAGCCACATTGAACCAGGAGAAATAAAGGATGATTGCCACTGTCACCCGGTACAGCCACTCAGATCTGGAGTTTGGCATAAATTTTGTGCCTTGAAGCCAGACCCAGAACAACAGTACCAGCCACAGGCTGAGGAAATGCAGGGCCACGTAGTAGGGGAAGAGAGCTGAGAAGAGGGCAACGGCAAAGATTCGGGGCCCCAACAGCAGCAGGTTCCACAGGAAGTAGACGACAGAGGAGCTCCAGCCCAGGCGGGGCTTAGAGGGAAGACAAGTACGCAAGGCCCGGTGGTAGTCCAGTAGTGCCCACGAGATGCCCAGGAAGGATGAGCTGATGCCAAACCCTACCAAGAGCAAGAAGAAACAAGTCAGCCTTGACTACAGCCTGCCTGGCACCCCCCAGAGCTCACAGGAACCCTCGCAGGGTTCTAGAAGCCCCAAGTTGTTCAAGAGATGGTTGGAGAGGGAGAACATCCAGTTAAGTTCCAGCCAAAGAGAGTGCTCTGGTAGCATTCTTAAGGATGGGAGACCTTATGTCTCCCTGTGCCTTAGCCCTAAGCCTCTTCTAGGTCCTGGAACTCTTCCAGTCCCAGACCCTGGGAACAGAATTAACAGCTCCAGTCCCCTTTCTCCATGTCAGAAAGTAGACAGAAGATCTCATGGAGTAGCAATAGACTTCCTGCAGCTGTCCTCAGGACTGGGAGCAATGGCCTGCTTCCCCACCCGCCCTTCCTCTTCTCCATGTCCAGCTTGGCCCGTTATGCTGACTTTCCAAGATCCAATGATAGGGGTCCTATCCCACCTCTGAACTGCCTACCCTTGACTGGGAGCGCCAGCGCCTCCAAGGAGGATGGAGTGGCTTGAGAATGCCCTATAACGTGTCTTCCCTCACCTCTTCTAATTCATTCACTCAAAAGAAGTTTGCTGAGGGCCTGCTGTGTGCCCAGAACCCACCTGTGGCCTGGTACTGAATCTGTAGCTATCCCCTTCTCTTATTCATCCTCACTCTGCAAACCCCAGCTTGAATAACTTCTGGGGTTGCCCTTTTAGACCCACCCGACTCTGCAGCCAGAGGTCCCTGTAACAAACCACCCACCCAATTAACATAGCAATTACCTGTTTTGTTTATTTATTTCGAGACAGGCTTGCTCTATGTAGTCCTAGCTGTCCTAGAACTCTCTCTCTGTAGACCAGGATGGCCTTGAATTCAAAGATCCGCCTGCCTCTGCCTCCTGAGTGCTGGCATTAAAGGCATGTGCCACCACAGCCCGGCCTGTTTTCTATTTATGAGCTCCTGATAATATCTGTTTGCTCAATCAAAAGTTGAGAAAAACCTGTCTCCCCATGCTAACCAACAGTGTAGATCATCTCCACCTGGTTCTGATCTCAAGGAAATGCCATGTACCTAGTGAGTGCTGAAAATGAGCAGGTCACCTTTCTGCACCTCTCTTAAGTGAAGTGAGGGGTTCTCTCAGGTCCCACTGTGAGTGATGACAAAGTAGGTTCCTTGGGGAACTGCTGCAGAGGACCTTGAGGTATGAAGGGATGGGGAAGAAAAAGGGAGCCCTGGGCTCTCAATTCGGTGTGAGGTAGAGCCTTGCTTAGTCCCAGGCTGGGCCCTTGGTCTCGAGGAAGTCCCTCCCTCCCAAGGCTTTTCACTGTACAGATTTCTCTGAGGGTTTATGGGGCCCTATGGTCTCTGCCACCTGTCTCTTCTGGTCACTCAGTACACCTAGTGTAACTATTTGTTTTACAGGCTGGGTGGAGGCTCTGTGTATCTGGCTCACCATTGTGTCCCCACCACAGTGAAAACAAAGAGAAAATATGAGTATCTAAAGGTTCTCTGTGGGGAGCAGGTGAGGTCCTGAGTGGATGTGTGTTACTGACATGAGCATGGCCATGCCAAAGACTCCAGTGTCAGTAACCTATATAGTTTATTTATTGTCATCAAAATAATAAAAAGTACAGCACTGGGGAGGCAGAAGCAGGGGAATTCTGTGAGTTTGAGGCCAGCCTGGTCTACGTAATAAATACCAGTCTAGCCTGATCTACATAGGGAGAACCTGTCTCAAAAATAAAAGATGGACGGGCTGCAGAGATGGCTCAGAGGTTAAGAGCACTGACTGCTCTTCCAGAGGTCCTGAGTTCAACTCCCAGCAACCACATGGTGGCTCACAACCATCTATAATGAGATCTGGCGCCCTCTTCTGACCTGCAGACATACATGCAGGCAGAACACTGTATACATAATAAATAAATCTTAAAAAAAAAAAATAAATAAAAAAAAAAAATAAAATAAAAGATGGAGAGCAATTGAGAAATACACCTGATGCTGACCTCTGGTTTCTGTAATACACACATACACCTGCAAATACACACCAACATATATTCACACACATACACAGATACATCATGTACCAGGCCCTGGGCTTTATATGCATCCCCCACATTTAATCTTCTCACCACCTCCACAAGAAAGGTTCATTTATCATGCCCACTGTTCAGATGAGAACAAACTGGTAGTCTGAGTCCCTTTTCTAACTTCATGTAGCTTGAAAATGACTAGATTTGAACCCAGATCCACTACCTAGTGCTCAGCCTCCCTGTTTCCTTTTTGTCCCCCCAGGGGTGAGAGCACTGCTGACATCGGAAGGGCACCGGAGGGGACAGCCACTGGCCCAGCACTCACATTGGTAATATTCAGCATTGCCACTCTGCAACACGATAGTCAGCACCAGTGTGAGCTGCGGGGTGGACTCCAAGAAATTCTCAAAGAGCCGCAGCATGCTGATGTCCAGGGTGAGGAAGTCTGCATAGGCTATGTCACTCTCAGATGGCAGCTCCTGCTGCCATATGAACAGCACCTGCTGCAGCCCTTGCAGGCACCTAGGCAGAACACACAGACGCCCGGCAGGCCAGGTCAGCGTTCTCTACTTTCCACCATTTCCTACCACTGAGTGCACAGAGGTAGCTTCAATCTTAGCTTGTAGATTAATTGCTGTGGAACCTTAGTCAAGCCACCTCACCTCAAAGAACCTGTTTCCTCATCCATAAAGTGGGGACATACAACGTCTCCTCTTGCTGGTCAGGCATGGTCCCAAGTTTATCAAAAGCCCCATTTTAGAGATGAGAAATGGAACTAAGACGCAAATAAGAGGCCTGAGAGATGGTTTAGCAGCTAATTGCATTCACTGCTCTTACAGAGGACCAGAGTTTAGTTCCCAACATCATATGAGGTGGCTCACCTCTAACTCCAGCTCCAGGGGATCCGCCCGACACCTTCTCTGGCCTGTCTGTAATATAGCCGCCCTTCACACTTGTCTGAGCTGTACTCATGTTCATACAATCCCTCAGGCAAAATGACAGCATTCAAGCCCCCGCCCCTGCTGGAAGCTGTATGCAGCTTTGCCAAGATCTGAGAATTCCACAACAGATTCTGCATCCAGCTACCCCATCCCAACCCATACCACACCATGAAGCCCTGCCTTCATCACATGATCCTGACCCCTTGGTTTCACTTTCTCCCATCTCACCTAAGGGCTTATTCACGACTTTAAAAAAAAAAAAAGTCACCAGGCCAGCACTGTGCCAGGGACTTTCTCACTACCCACCTCTGTCACTGGCTGAACATGGGGTCTGCCCAGTTCAGAAAACGCACACAATCCACACACATTTTCAAAGAACCAGTCTGTGTCCAGCCCTGGCTCACTCCAGGGACACAGGTGATTCAGGCAGGACCCATCTCTGCCCGTCTTCATTCCCTGATGGGGAAGCAGATGTTCACAGAAAAGGACAGGAATGAGAAAGAGAGGGGGCGCTGTCCTGGAAGTCGGGGCTGCTGCCCAAGGAAGCATGAAGCTAGTTGTGCCAGGACAATGTATGGACGGACATGTGCCTTTTTAATCTGCTCAGAACACCAGTTGCAACTATTGCCATCCATGCTAGAACACTGAGTAAACTGAGACCCAGAGAGGTCAGCGACTCACCTATTACGAGTCCTATTACGATAAAAACAATAAGCCAGGCAGTGGTGGTGCATGCCGTTAAGAGACAGGTGGATCTGAGTTTGAAGCCAGCCTGGTCTCAGAGCGAGTTCCAGGGCTATGCAGAGAAACCCTGTCTCAATAATAATAATAATAGTAATACATTTAAAATTAAAATAATAATTTAAAAACCGGCCTCGGGCCCTATTATACCAGGGTTTCTCACTGTCCTCACTTGTCTACCAGCCTGCCTTCTTCACATGACTGCCACTTAGTACACCAAAACCAGCACAGAATTCACAGATGGCGGTGCCAAACTTGGTTTCTGGGGAATCTCTTAACTCCAAGGTCCCCAAGCCCCCTTCCTCGCTTTCCTGAACCTGGGTCTTCATCTGCGACCGGGGGAAGACTGGGCTTGGCTCTGAAGGCTGTGTCAACTCGCTCGCGTTCTTCTTTCCTCGACGGGCCGGACGGGCACTCACCTGTACAGATAGCCAAGCTGCAACAGATGCAGCAGCGCCAGGAAACGACGCGAGTGCTTCGACCCATGCAGGTCCGCCGGGTCGGAGGTCAACCAAACCCAGCTGAAGAGCTGCATCTGCACCGAGGAGAGGCCCAGCAGCGCCAGCACCAGCGCGGCCCACACGTAACGGCCACCGAGTACATACTGGACGACGGCCCACAGGTCGGCGACCACGTCCAGCAGGAAAGACAGGGTGCCCACCACGCCCACGACCAGGTTCAAGAACACAGAAGAGCGTAGAGACAAAGGCATGGCCCGCTCCAGCCAGCCTCTCAACCGCGGGCCTGCCCTCCAGCCCGGGTCGTCGGGCAGGAAGGGGGCGGGGCAGTCCTCGGGGGGCGGGGCTGCTGGGCGGAACTTCCCCCTCTCGCCCTGTCCGGGGAGGAGCGAGGCTGCGACCACGCCCCCCCAGCCGTCCCACCGCCCAGACCCCGCCCCCAGCCCACCCGGTCCAGAGCGGCTGCTACTGCAGGTTTAGATTTTGCGTTTAAGGCTCAAGCAGGCGGGAAGGGCCACAAGGCAAGAGCCTAGAGTCCAGGCCACAGCTGTGATCCCTCACGGCTGCACTGTTACAAAACCAATCAAGAAGACTTTTTAAAAAGTACCTAGGGGTTTTGCAATCCGGGGGCCCATCTTCCTGGTGGCTCATTTGACTACGGCAATCAAGTGCATAGTAGTTTGAAACATATGTATTAAAGGGAATAATGCACAAAGACATGTACCACGAGCATGTTTTGTGGATAAAACGTGAAACTTGGAAGAAATATGCTTCTTCGGGACCTCTCTGGTGAATCCAAATGTCCCATCCTAGTTTATTCTCTGCAGACACGGGAGACTGATGGCAACGGTCATCTCTCCATGGGGTGACACTGCCCAATTTTACCGGGAGAAAGGCAACCCAGTAAGAGGGCAGCGTGGTAGTGCCTACAGTCATAGGACCACCAATACATGCAGGCTTGGCAGCAGAGTCAGCACGAGCAGGAGACCAGGCACCAGCTTAGAGCCAAGGCCATGCAAGCAGGTAGCATAGGTGTTGAATGCCACCTGTTGCATAGCACACACATGCTCATTGCGGCAGATGTCCCCACAGGTCGAATAGTCATAGCTGACTGAGTTATAGATGTAATAACGTTGCAGCATGTGCTGGTCACTGGCGATGCGGGTCAGGGCCATATGCATGGAGCTGATGCCTGCATCCTGCACCTGGTAGGCATCTGTCAGGCGGTATTCCAGCTCCCAGTGTGGAGTCTCTTGCGCATTCGCCTGAGTCAGGTTCAAGAAGTAGGTCACCATGTCCTGCATTAGAGACACGGAGTATGCCAGTAATGAACAGTTGTTTAGTTCTACCCACAACCCAGCCTGTCCCCAGGCTCTCTAGAGCAAATATAACAGCTGCTGTTTGTTACTGAGCACTCAGCCAGGTATACCTAGGGGCAGACACCCTGTGCTTGGTTCTGACGAGGTACCTGCACCTATACCCTCATTCTCCTGATGAGGACACGGAGGCCTAAAGAGGTTGTTGGAGTTTGAATCGGAAGCGTACCCCACAGGCTCGTTTTGAATATTGTTCCCCAACTGGTAGCACTATTTTGGGTGGCTGTAGAATTTTTAGGAAGTGGATTCTAGCTGGCAGAAGAAGACCTTTGAAGCTGGTGCTGAATCCATCTCTGCTTCCTGCTCAATGGCAATGAGGCATCCCTGACATAAGCCACAAGCCTTCCCCACCAGGATGGAGTAAAACACTCTGAAACCATGATGTTGGCATTGTGGTCACAGTACTGCAAAAGGAACTTTACCTTCCCAGCGTGTATAAGTATTCAGTGGCAGGGGTGGGATTAGAACCCACATTGCTTAACTCACTATGTCTGTTTCCTGTCCTGCTAAACTGGCAGGACAGGCTCCCCACAGAAGCTCTGATGCTCAGTAAATCTTTACAGAATGACAGGGAGTAATCATTGGCAGCAGCGGGGGAGTGGGGGGAAGTGGGGGGGGTGGGGGGTGGGGGTGTGTGTGGCTGGCTGGCAGAGGTTACAGAACTGTGGCTGTTGGGGTTCACATTCATATAGAGTCATAGGGCTCGCTAGGACTCAGCGGTGCCTTCAGACCAGGAAACACTTTCCCGTGAAGTATCTGGTTATTACAGACGGGTAAGTGGCGCTTCAGTGAGCCGGTGGGAACTGAGTGTGCCGGGCACAGGGCATTATTGCTAAGTCCTCTCTGCCTGCCACTGAACAGAGGAAGCAATGGAGTGGCCTTGCACACAACAGGATATACTCTTCAAAGTCCTCAGGGTGCTCACTTCGGCAGCACATATACTAAAATTGGAATGATGCAGAGAAGGTTAGCAGGATGACACGCAAATTCGCGAAGCATTCCATATTTTTGTGTGGTTTATAGGCTTTGATTACTTTATATATTTATAAATGGGATTATATTTATATATATAAATATGATTTATCAAAAAAAAGTCCTCAGGCCTGGGGCTAGCAAAATGTATCCCCAGAATCCACATGGAGAAAAGCAAGAACTAACTTTGGCAAGTCATACACACACATATAATTTTTTTGCACTATATATTTTTTCAATCCTTAGATCTGAGCAGGGGAGATGGTTTAGTGTTTAAGAGTAGTTTTAGTTTAAAAAAAAATCAAGCCGGGCAGTGGTGGCGCACGCCTTTAATCCCAGCACTCGGGAGGCAGAGCCAGGCGGATCTCTGTGAGTTTGAGGCCAGCCTGGGCTACCAAGTGAGTTCCAGGAAAGGCGCAAAGCTACACAGAGAAACCCTGTCTCGAAAAACCAAAAAAAAAAAAAGAGAGTAGTTTTAGTTTTAATTTTGTGAGGTAGAGTATACGCAACATACATGCAGGTACCCACAGAGGCCAGGGGAAGGTGTCAGATTCTCTGAAACTGGAGCTATAGGCGGTTGTGAGCTGCCTGATATGGGTGCTGGGAACCAAGTGAGTGCTGTGCAAGAGAGAGCAGTACATACTGTTAACCACTGAGCCACCCCTCACTCCCAAGGCCACTTTCTGCACAACTATGAGGAAAGGGATATATCCTAGTGCGCACTCCCGCGTGCACACACTCAGACCGAACAGGGTATGGAGGCTCACAGCTGTAATCCCAGCACTCGGGAGCCTGAGGCAGAAAGGTTGAATCAGGGCTGGAGAGATGGCTCAACAGTTAAAAGCATTGTTTGCTCTTCCAGAGGACCCAGGTTCAATTCCCAGCACCCACATGGCAGCTCACAACTGTTTGTAACTCCAGCTCCAGGGGATCCGACAGCCTCACACAGACGTACACGCAGGGGAAACAGCAATGCGCATAAAATAAATGGTCATTATAAAAAGAAGAAAGAAAGGTCACATCATGTATATGGTGACAAATCCCTGCTCCGCAGCCTCTGAAATGCCTGTAGGATCAGATACTTGCCAGCACTCCGAGCCACCACCCGCTGGCAGCTGTGCCTGTGCCCTGGTCACAGCAGACACCGTCAGAACAGTTCACACTTCTGTCCCCAGCTCTCTAAATCCAGAGTTCTTCCCATGACCTTGGTCTGGCCCTGTGCTCTCTGGGGTCACCCACTCTCCGTGCTCTTCCCCTAAAACACCAAGCCCCTTCCCACCTCAGGGCATCTGTCTTGCTGTTCCCTCTACCTTTTCTACAAACCCAGCTGGCTCACTCAGTTTACACAGAACTCAAATGCCACCTTACTTATGACACTTCCCTTGTCCCATCCACGTAACACAGCCCACACATTCCAACTCATCAGCCCCTTTACCTTCCCTCCCATCCCCCACCATCATTCTCTCCCTCCCTCCCTCCCTCTTTCTTCAGCGTTGGAAAGTCAAACCTCGTGTCTCTTCATGTTAAGGCAGCACTTGGCCGCTGAGCTGCAGCCACAGCCCCCGTACCTCACCCCCACTTGGAGGCAGGGTCTTCTCACTATGTTATTGTCTGATCTTGAACTCACGATGTAGTTCATTCAGGCTGGCTTTACATTTCAGTCCTGTGCCTCAGCCTCTCAAGGGCCTGGGATTACAGTCCTGTGCCAGCAGCCCTGGCCACCACCCTGCCTTTCCTCTCTCCCGTGTTTAATTGTATGGATTTGTTTACTGTCGTCCTCCTGCACGGATTCTGGTGAAGGAGAGCAGTTACTCTGCTGTTTGTGTTGTGTCCCCAGCTTTGAACAGGGTCTGGCATGTGGCAGGTGAGTAGTACATTCTACTGAATGAAGGAAGTAGCATTTCTTTGTCATTTCAACAATCTCAGAACATCTTAGGAGGTGAAGATGTCCTCATGGTGTTAGGGGCTGGGTCCTAGTTGGTGTATGGAAAGGGGCAATGGACTTGAGCTCAGACTGTGGGGAGTCTTCCATCCCAGCCTAAGAAGAGGCAATTTTATCTTAAGGTTCGTAAGCTGCGGAGAGGCAATATGAAGTCAGTATTTTAGGAAGATTAATTCCTCCTGGGTGTGGCGGCAGGTAGGGGGCAGTGACAGTGATCCAGGACAAAGAAAGACTTGGGGGAAGAACTGACCTGATGAGGTGGCTCCAAAGTTCGAACCAACATTCCCTTCCAAGACTCAGTGGTGAGTAAGTAGCAAGCAGATTAGGCAAGGTAGTGATACATTTAGATTCCCACCCCCAGCCCCAGGAGACCCACACTCCTAACCTGCAGGTTCAGTGTGATTCGATCATACTCAAAAACACGGATGCCTGGGTTGTTGGCTCCATTGACCACTCCAGGTAAGGTGGTCTTCCATGGGGTGACCCCAGGTGTGAGGAACATGACGCTTATGGGGGCACCTTTAGGGAAAAAGACAACAGGCTGAAAGGGACTATGGGAAGAGGGAACGGGCAGTGGCCAGCTCCCTCAATGGAGTACCTGCACTGTCATAGAACATCCGGAAGCTGTCGGTATGGTGGTGCCCAAAGAACTGCCCCGCTATGACGCGATGGTGCTTCTGGACCACCTTCAGGTACTCCTCATTGAAGCTCTCTCGGAACCAGGCCCTGTCCTGTGTCTTCTCAAAGAACCCTGGGGGCACGTGGCCAATAATGTACACCTGCAAGAAAGAGGTACTGGGGTCAGAGATGCTCTCTCCAGCCCCCACTTCCACCTTCCCAAACCCGCCCAGGTCCTCAAGGGCAGGCGGACCAGCAAGTGCATCTCCTCTGAACGTAACCCCAAAGCACCTCTTCCACAAACCCTTCCTGACCCTTCAAAGGGTGCTCTTCTCAGAGCTGGGACTGATCCTCCATGGCTGTGTGAGGACACTACGCTGTCATGTGCATTTGTGTTTTATGTTCCTCAGGTCACCCAGGCACTTGGTCACCATCACAAAAATGTAGAATGAAGGCAGAATTAGGAGCATGTGCTTAGCCAAGGATGGTGGCGCACACCTTTAATCCCAGTACTTGGGAGGCAGAGGCAGGAGGATCTCTGGGAGTTCAAGGCCAGCCTTGATAATGATAGAGTGTGAATGAGCCTTGGGGTCAAACTGCAGCTAGTCACCAGTCGCCTATCATCTCTCTGAGCTTCAAGTTTCTCATT